GTCCAGGACATAGGATCTGTGGAGGTGTATTTTTTTTATTTATTTGCTTGTGCTGCACTATACATCCTTGTAAGCTTTTTAATCGTGTTTAATAGGGTTTGTGAATCTGAGGGAATGAAGAACGGCTACTTTATAAAAAAAAAAAAAAAAAAAGCTCCCCAATATGCTGCAAATCTTCAGCTTCCGCAGGGACTAGAACGTTCCTGGCAATTCACAGCTATCCTTATCCTTCCTCTTTTAAAAATGGGAGTGCTATGAGTAACCCATAAACACCTGCCGAGCAAGTGTTATTGTGATGTTACGTTCAGCACATACAAGTAGTTTTACTCATGAAAAGACGTGAATGAAACTATTAGAAAAGCTAAACTGATTCTATTTCTTTTTAGGAATTAAGCGAATACTGGTGGTGCTGTAAAATGAATGCATAGCCTTTTCTTCTGATGTTAGTGTATGACACGGAGCTTCTTATACCGTAAGTTATGCAAGAAGTTTAAACGATTAAAGTGCTTTGTCTTTTTTTTCATTTAGTGCTCAATTGAAGTTATACTCTTATACGAAACACTCGAAGGTGTCCACAGCTCTCAGAGTCCATCATTACTGTTCAAAATGCAGATTTTTAGTGATATGCAGAAGTCAGACTTCAGAATTATTTAGGTAGCAAGCAGCTTGAGTTTAGGTGTGGGGAGAGCATCTCAGATAATCGCTCGACAAAGATAGTGGATCTGTTCCCAACGCTCCTTGCATCATAATCATTACAATGAAGCTGAACGTTTATGGGGCTTAGAGTGCCCATCACATACCTATTAAAGGGAAATGATCCCCTCCTCCAAGCAGATTAATTTAACCTTAAAGAAACATTACATCAGAATCATGAGTTACAAGAGCAGATGTACCTATGGCTCAGTGTGTCTGTACTCCTGTCAGATGATGTGTTTTCTTGTGCAATTTTGACCCCTTTTGACATTCATTTTAATGAATTGAATAATAGTCTGTGAGAACCAAAAGCCTTCAGCGCAGTTACTTCATTTAATATGCTGCAAACCCTTCTCCAGAGATTCATTGTATATTGTTACTACTGTAACTAAAGGATCTGTTGCTGCAGAGACTGTGCTATGCCTGTTAGAGGACCATGCAGGACCCACGAGACTGCTTGGTGCTGTTGCATTTATTGTACATTTATCTGGCTACGTGAGTGCCCTTATTGCTAGAAATCCATCAAGTCCTGACCCTTCCCTTCAGCCATACTGATCTAGGAAGATTGGAGCAAATTCAAGGCACAGTGCAAAAATAAAGATATATATATAAATTTCCACTGTGAATTCTCCTTATCACTTTGACTGTGAATTGCACCTATTTTGCTCTAAATTACACTCCAAGCACTATAACCAGTACAGCACACTGTAGTTGTTGTGGTACCAGGAGTGCCATGGCACCACCCATCTTATGTTAGCAAACTGAGTTTATAACTAGGGTCCACTAGATGTCACTTATCACCTTCTCCCAGCCTCCAGTAGAGCTCTTGCTTGGAGCTTCCTTTACCTATTCTGAGCAAAGCTCAGCACTGCCAGGCTTAGCTCACAGCTGAGAGATCCAGCTAAGAGGAGGCAGGGAGCGGTGACTGGAGGATCCTGGATAGGAAGTCAAAATGTTACAAAATGGTTTGCCTACTTACACTGAGGGATTCAAAAGGACCTTGCGATCACATGGCCCAAGGAGGCTGGATCCATCGCAGGGGGACTGCTTGGGATGCCAGGCAAGTCCCCCCATCGTGATCTCCAGCAAGCAGGTCAGTCCCATGGATGGCGGGGACATACTATGCCGCCCACCAGCATTTAGAGCCGGGTCCCCAAGGACGGCATAGCACACTGACCAAAGAGGAATGGGGGTAAATATTTAGAAACATTTTTAAATCCTCTGGTAACACATCCACACAGGAGAGTAACTATAAGCGAATCGCCCGATGGCACCTCACCCCAACAAGAATAAAAAAATTCTTCCCAAATGCATCTAATACTTGTTGGAGATGCAGATCCAATGAAGGGACCACAGGCCACATCTGGTGGTCTTGTAACATCATACAGGAATACTGGGGAAAAATAACTACCAGTATCAGTAATCACAGGCTATAAAATCCCTCAGACACCTCAAGCACTCATACTCATGCTCTATCCAGATCCTCTGGAAAAACCAACACACTAACCATTTACTCACAGCTGCAAACAGTCCAACCAAGTGGAAGCAGAACAAACCCCCGACTATTAGGGAATGGATAACCAAGGTAGACTCCATAAGACAGATGGAAGAGCTCTCATACTCATTCTCCTATAAATATGATGAGTTTACCAACATATGGACACCATGGGATCACTACTTAAGAGAAACTAAGCGCAATAATACATCCATACCACTACAGCCACACTTAGACACATTACGAACCAGATAGACTACACCAGAAACTACCCGAGGACAAGGCACCTCACTGCAACAACACAGTTACGACTGAAAATGTAATTAACACAACCAAATTGCTATTGATGTATGTACTACCATGTCTATGAACATAACATCTATAAAATCAAACATGTGGAAATCTATAACAAATTCTGTAATAAAAGTTGACTTACTTTCACAGTTCTGTAAAATGCGAACCTAAACAATAAAAAGTAAAAAAACAAAACAAAAAATTGTGATGGCAGATAAGAACCATTAAGCCCATCTAGGTGTTAACCTCTACAACTTCAGCTGGAAGGCTATTCCATGTGTCCACAACCCTCTCTGTAAGGTAATACTTCCCAAAATTATTTTTAAACCTTATCCCCTCTAATTTAAAACTAGATCCTCTGTGGTAGTTCTTTTAAATAAAGTCTCCTCCTTTACTGTGTTTATTCCCTTTATGTATTTAAATGTTTCTATCATATCCCACCTGTCTTGTCTTTCCTCCAAGCTATACATGTTAAGATCCTTTCCTGGTAAGTTTTATCCTGCAATCCATGAACCAGTTTAGTAGCCCTTCTCTGAAATCTTTTCAAAGTATCAATATCCTTCTGGAGATACGGTCTCCAGTACTGCATTCAATACTCCAAGTAAGGTCTCACCAGTGTTCTGTACAATGGCATGAGCACTTCCCTCTTTCTACTGCTAATACCTCTCCCTATACAACCAAGCATTCTGCTAGCATTTACTCCTAAATCCCTTTTCTCAGACATTGAGGTTAGTAGGGTATCAAATATTCTATACTCTGCCCTTGGGTTTTTACACCCAAGATGCATTATCTTGCACTTATCCACAGTAAATGTCAGTTGCAACAGCTCTGACCTTTTTTCTCATTTACCTAAATCATTTGCCATTTGGTTTATCCCTCCTGGAACACCAACCCTGTTGCAAATTTTAGCATCATCAACAAAAAGACATACCTTTCCATCAAGACCTTCTGCAATGGGTACAGCATTCACTATTTTCCAGTCTTTTGGGACTACTCCTGTTAACAAGGATTGGTTAAATAAAGGCGTAAATGGTTTTGCTAGTACACCACTAAGTTTTTTTTTTTTAATAACTTTGTATCCCATCAGGCCCCATCGACTCATTTGTCTTTACTTTTGACAGTTGAAATAGAACCTCTTACTCTGTAAACTCACATGTAACAAATGACTCATTTGTCCTTTTTACTAACTGAGGCCCCTTTCCTTCATTTTCAACTGTAAATATTGAACAAAAATATTAATTGAGGCAGTCAGCTAGACCTTTATCCTCTTCTACATACCTTCCTTCTTTTGTTTTTAATCTAACTAATCTTTGCTTTACTTTTCTCATTTATGTATCTAAATGTGTTATCACCCTTTTCACTGACTGTGCTATTTTCTCTTCTGTGTACGCTTTGGAGGCTCTTATAACTTGCTTTGCCACTTTCTGCTTAGTCTTCTAGATCTGTCTGTCTTCCTCATTCTGGGTTTTTATAATTAAATGCTAACTTAGTTTTTTACTATTTTGGCCACTTCTGTTTTTTACCACAGTTTCTTAATGTTTCTGCTCTTCCTAACAAACCTAATGGAATTTTCTGTTGCTTTCAGTAGTGCAATTTTTAAATTATCCCATTTATCCTGGACTCCATTATGCATATTCTAAATTTGAGAAAAGTCTGTTTTTCTAAAATCTAAAACTTTAGTTTTTGTCTGGAGTGACTCAGTCACTGGTCTTATATTAAACCACACTGACTGATGATCACTGGATCCTAAAAACTTTTACCTACAGTAATATCTGATACACAATCTCCATTTGTTAACACTAAATCTAGTATGGCCTCCTTACGAGTTGGCTTCTCAAGGACTTGTTTTAAAGATAATTCCAGGAGGGAGTTTAGAATATGTGTGCTCCTGGCACAAGCAGCTGTTTTGGTGTAAGCGTTAATCAGAAACCTTTTAAACCACTGCTTTAAGGGTGGGTTTTGAATGAACATACGATGTGTGATAAGTCATTGTTCAAGAGTATGGATTGTGGTGAATATCGTGTTAAGAGCATTAATGATAAGATATATAGGAGAATAGACAGAACTGTATTATATGTATGCTAAACCTGCCAAGATCTTAATGTGTTTTGATTGTTTCTCCTCCATTGCAATAAAGACATGATCAGATACTTCCACTATTCTTGCCTCTGACTGGTTCATTGGAAAAGGCTTTTCAGAGGGTATTGGCTATTTGGCTAACAATCACATGGACAGAATTTGTCAAAACTGAAGTCGGATTAAATTCTGTTTGTTCAATCCAAAAACATTTTTTTTAGATAAATTGGCTATGAAGCCATGCTGAAACAATGCCCTTTGCCCTTTTTCAATAAACATTTTTCTTCTAACTGGGCATAGAAAAGTATACTAAGAAGTGATTTGAAGATATACCAAAATTATCCAACTCTGCTTTCTCAAATTTGTCAATTTTGCAATTTAATTGTCAATCCTTGTTTTAGTGAATAGCCCTTACAATGTTATTTCAATTAGACAAAATATACTCATACATAATATAATTTATTTAAAATTTTATTGGGTGATAATTTAAATAGTTTATTTTTTTTAAATAAAAAAAAAGAACTTTAAATGTTTGGGAAAACAATAATGAAAGTTGTCAGAATGAGGACAAAATATACATAGAGAGGAACATTGCTGTGGTGTCTACTCTTATTACATAATTTTAACAAAAGCATCTTATTCTCAAACTCCAATAAGAAATGCACAAAGAAATGATTATAGTGACATGGGATGCTGAAGTTGAGTCAGTGGAAGACACTCACACATACAATAAAGTGGCTAAAGAAAAACGAATCAAACTGAGGATAAAGAAGTTTGCTTGTTTATCGGGTTGTATAGCCATTGACTAAATCAGAATTGAAATGGCCTCCGGCATCTAACCTTCAACAAGATATGGTAATATTTATTAATGGGGATAGAAGAGGAAGGCAGGAACTAGTCAATTTTCTTTGCTTGTAGTCCTCAAAGTAACAGTCACAGTTAAGATTTTTTTTTAAATGTTATCAAAAGCATTAGTAGGAAAGTGTGTGTGGGTGTGTGTATGTATGTATGTTTATTAAAGTGACTAAATATTAGCTCAAATAAATATTCAGTATAGATAGTTATCTCTCCGCTATAGTAACTTTTTTTTTAGTGTTCGTGGATTTTGTTTCTTAAAGGTGAAGTATAACATTATAGTTAAGTCTCTACGATAACGGACACATTTGGTGCATTGTGAGAAGGTAGGATTGAGTGATCTGCAGTGTTTTGGACAGATATCACTGCAGCATACTGTAGAGTAGTGCTTGTAAGTGCTTCCTTGGAGTATGAAGAATTAGTGTGCTGCATAACAGTAATCCATAAAGTAGCAAAGGAGAATTCCCAAAGGAAGTGCTTTGATCTTTGTCCTTGCTTATTTCCTAGCATCAGAATGCTACATACCGAGGGCAGCTCTTTTAATATATTGCCCATCAGCATGACGAATAATACAGGAAGAACATCTGGAAACCCATAGGGGTAAGGCTTTCCGTTCTTTTTTTTTTTTACACTGGGAATATGGCAATTTTGAATATTGTGTATTTTGACTTTCCGATGAATTTAAGTTTTCCCATTATTTTAAAATGTAATAAAAATATTAAAATTATTTAATAAAATACATTCAATATAAAAAAAATAATCACCAATAGTTTATCATTGCAATGGTATATAGGATTAAAAAAAAAAAAAGTATTTTAAAATATCGAAGTAATTATAGTTACATAACTGTACAGTGTAGCTATGGCAATTACTCCTTTACAGTAAATGTTTTTTCCTGTAGACAGTAAATATTTGACAAGTCATACAGCACAAACAATGCCATACGTGCATTTTTGGATATTCTCATCCCTACATGGGGTACAATGAGCAGAAGTCAGAGAACACTCAAGGAAAATAAGCATCTCCAGTTGTTAGTGAATTTTGACTCCCATAAACATTTCAATTATTAGTTTTAGCAACAGCTGGATGTTCATATTTTATTACGCTAATGGGATGGCAAAAAGGTAGTTCCCCTATCTGTCTCAAGGTTGCAAAACATCAAAGGAGCTGTAGTTCTACAACATCTGGGTGAATCTACAGTTTTGTCCACCCCTGACCTAGTTTACAGTTTGCTTAACTCGTAATTTCTCTTATACATAAACATTCATACGGAGAACACAATCTGAGAGAGACCCTGGAAATTTCTTTAACAAACACAACTGCTGGGTCATGAACACAAGCTAGTTGTCTTCCTAAATTTAAAAATTTGTGGAGCCCAGGAAAATCTGATGTATAATGCCATCAAAAGAGAGGCACCGTAGAATGAAAAAGGCACTTCTAGTTTTTGAATAATTAACAGCTGTTTAAAACAGAGCACCCAAATTAAATAGTGATAAATGCAAATCATATACTAAGTATTACATTTTGAAACCTAGGATAACAGATGCAGGGTAATATAAAATGACATTAGAAAAAAAAAGTTGTGGAAATAATGTAAGATCAAGAATTATTACGTGCACAATTGTTTTTGTAGAAGTGTTCAGAAAAAGATTTGGTGAAAATTGAAAGGAAAACATTTCTTAGCATAGTGAAAGAATGATCAGGTATGGAATATGTTCTAAACTTGCTCACAAATGAAGAAAATAGCAGTTGTAAAAAGTATACAATAACCCTTCAATATGAATTACATTCAGTATATTTTCGGAAAGTCTCTCAATTTGATATCACGTTAGCTGTGGGAAGAATATGGATATAAAAATGTGCCACTAAATGTAGAAAACATTTCATCTAAGTCTGAATGGGCAAGGTTGCCTCCTGTTAGCACTATGCTGACTTCATCTCCGACATTCAGGTGTAGAATAAGATTAAATGTTCCGGCCCCACCGCAAGTCTGTCTTGAACTTGGTCTGTGATATTCCAAAAGCTCTTTTCTGTAGCCGGATGTGTCCATCTGTGCTATACTGACGTTGGACACAGACAAGATTGCTTCCAAATGAACATTGTGTGCTGAAGTAAGAACTGCTGAGATCATGTAACGTCCAGCAACAGGAGCTGTGAAGATGCCTTTAGTATAAAAAAAAAAAATAATTAATAAATGTGCAATGAATCACTTAGGGGTGCAAATTACAATTTATAGTACTCCATGAAAAATGCTTGTATGCATATTGTGTCTATTCACAAAATCGTGAGATTGCTTTATAAATAAGATGTCAATTCTACAATAGGGGTTGAGCTGTTCCCAGCACTTCCAAGTTGTCCCCAGTCCAGTCTTTACTAGCGTGCCTCCCAATAGTGTGTGCACACATTTAAAATTCCAATGTAGTCAGAACTCAAGTTATCCCATAAAGCACCATTTACCTTCCCACTTACCGAGGCTGATTTTATTTTACAAATAAATGAATTTTCCCTGCCAGAGCTGCATTCGGTCATTCTGCTTGGACTGTAAATGTTGTCTCACACCACAGTGAATCTGTCTTTGTATGGCTAACTTTTTGTCTGCATTCAAGCAGTCTAGAAGGGGGAGGTCAGTTGTTGCAAGTTGAAACAACAGCCTGCAATGCCCTATGGAACATACTCAGTGTAACCTTTAGGTATATATGGAAATATTATTTTATGTGCAGTTAGGACTTTTTTTTTTTTTTTATAAAGCTGCATTCCCAGAAAAGTGATCAAGATCGTTTAAAATTCCATAAACTATTTAACAGACTTTAACTACTTTAGTTACACCTACTGTTTATTACAAAAATGGTGGTTCCTTGCTATGCTAGCATTTCAGACGGGACTCTAATTCTTTTAGATAGACTTTTCAAATGATCACAATGGGTTAGAAATCCTTTGAAATAATTTATCTACAGAAGTCATCATTAGAATCTATGGAAAATTTTGTACATATATCGAAACATTTTTCTAACCTATTGAGATAATTAATCCATAAATTAAGATACAAAAAATTAAAATTTAGTAATTTCATTGATGAAAAAGACATGCTATAGGCACCAGAACCAACTCATCTAGTTGACGTTATCAAGACTGGAGTACCTTAGCACCATCCCATGGTAAACAGTTTTTGATTGGCTTTACACTAAATGAGATCCTTGGTCAACTGCTGCTCAGCCCCCATTGAAGGTATGGCTAAGGTGGAGTTACACTTTGCTTTGCATTAGCCATACCAGCTCATTCCAATAACGGGTGGCTATCACTGTTGCCCATCACTATTCTAGCTAATGCAGTAGCATTAGCTCAAGCAGCAGAGATGTTGTTCAGCACCCTATAATGTATGCATGTATAGGTGAGGTCAACACCTTTGGTTTTATGTGTTTTGTGTTACATTATAATATAGTCATCGATTCGGTATCTTTATATATTGAAAGTGTGTGTGTGTGTATATATATATATATATATATATATATATATATATATATATACATACATACATACATACATACATACACACACACACACATATATATATATACACATAAATACACATACATATATATATATATATCCAAACTATTTCCTAAATAATACAGCGATTCAACAGTTAAACCATTCACCAATTCCTTAGATATGCTTTCAAACTGCTGTTTATGTGCCTGTGTACTTCATGGAACCCGAACAACAATCTTATTCATTGAACAGATAAATAGGTTCTCTCTCGCATCTTGTGATTTCATGTTGATGAAACAGCAGCTATTCACATGTTGAGCAATATATCCACAGATAAATGGAATGCTTATACTACTACTGGTCTAATTTTGTTTACCTGCCAATGACTGGAAACAACAAGAGCGTATGTTGTTTACTGCCATTCATTTTAAAGAGATCTTTACATCCTTGACAAATACTTTTGAGACTGTTTATGCTAGAGTTTTTATACATTTGGAACATTGAAAATATAGCATACAGGACAAGGATGTCCAAGGACTCTGGATGACAGTGTTCCAGACATTGAATTCTATTCTATTCATTTCTCAACTTTGATATGACCAGTGGTCTATCATGTTGAACCATGATTATAAACTGCTTCAACCCCCTTAACCTACTAATCTGATAATCTTTAAGCAATACAACCCACCTATGAGGAAGTATTTTTTCACATTCGATGCATACTGGTTATAAGATTACTTCTACACTTCACTACACTTACCATCCTGTCTGAAGGTCTGGTTGTCATGGTTAAAGGGACACTGTAGGCACTATAACCATTTCATTGAATTGGTTATAGTGCCTGGAGTCCACTTGCACTGTCTCTCCAGGGGCAAGGTCCCTGACTTCCCATAGCACCACCTCCACTGCAGAAATTACACACTCCCTTCTAGCCATACAGATTCATACCTGCATGGCCACTGCGATAGGCTGAAAGTGGTCAGTTGACACTCACAGCCAATCACAACTGCCCACTGCTGCTTAGGTTAATGCTTCTTCGTTAGATCGAGCAGAGAGGAAATGGATTGCGTGGAACTCATGTTTAGTTAAAACATTAAAAACAGTTTAATGCTGAATGGAAGGACAGTGCCAGGGGACTCCAGACACTACAACCACTTCAATGAGATGAAGCAGTTACAGCGCCTAGAGTGTCCCTTTAAATGTATTCCTTCACCATTTAATTTTCGCTCACATTCTGATCCGTTTACTTAATTATCTCTCTTTTGTTTTGTTTCCAACATTCCCTTTCCTCTGCACCTAATCCCATAGGCAAGTAAGAAAACTATCCTAAGGCAGTTTTGTTCTTTACAATCTTTTTGTTTTCTTTCTGCATGGTACATTTGAATGACAGCTGTTAAGAGGTTGGGACTCATTTATTTACAATATAATTACACATTCAATTTAGAAAATGCATATTATATTCAACCTTTCCCATCACTTTAAGTCACTTAAGACAATTAAGCCCTGGTTCTGACTATATGTCAACTAATATGGCAAGCAGTTACTCATTGGTCATTCATAAGCTAAGATTACCTTCTTACATATTATATTATATGTAACCAACAAGCCTATTATGATTACTTAAAACTCTTCTTACATCTACTTTTATCTCTTTATCACTGCTCTAGGTTTCGGCCTTCAGGTGCGTCAATTAATGGCTTCTGTCTTCTTGACATTTGCAGAATATTGTCTCCCATATCATTTGATTTTCACCCTCATTTCAGTCCTTATAAACTAGTTTTTCAGAGAGGTAGCTAATTAATCAGTTAAACTCACCCTGTCTTGTCTCCCCCTTTGTCTACACCAACTCTTTCCCACCTACTTCTCAGCCTAGGTTCTATTGACACTTATATACTTTATATTGCTAGTAGATTCTACTTTTTGTGTGTAGTCTCTTCTGGGCCATTAAAAACCCTGAAAAAGGCATTTCTTTGCAATTTCTTGTCGTGAACTTTCTCTCTACCCCCATCCAGTTGTACATGTTTAGTTATGTTTGCCTGCACCCTATAGACATATGCTTCTTTAGATGAGTGGTTGCCTTTCTTTGTTGCAGAACGCATATATACTCTCAACAGGGAAGTATTATTTTGGCATATCTTCAGCACAGCTGTAATAATCTCAGATGACAAGTTTTCTAGAATCCAGTTTTTGGAGGTTAAGATTATGCATTATTCAGTCTACAGCCACATATGGAATACATCGAATTCTACAAGCGATGAGTTTTTCCCCGTGAATATTTTTTTTTAAATAATAACTGGGTCCTATCATATACGTTCCATCCCTTCAATACGAATTTCATCTTCTTTAATGTTCTAAGCGCAGCAGACATACAGATGTATTGTGCTCGTACCCTCAAGGTAACAGACGCATACAGCAGGACATCTGCATTAACGAGTGAGCAAGCAATAGTTGTTACTGTACATTGACACAGTCAGCTGGAATTCAGTGAAATAATCAATGACTCATGCTCTAATGTCCTGCTAAGTGTTCCCGCATGTTAAACTCCCACTTCTCAATAGATGAAGGAAAGAGCTGTACTCTCAAGCAAAGGATACTTTTGTTTTCTCTCTCAGCAAAGAGACTCTAAATAAAAAATACTCCCATTTATGGACCTCATCAGTAACATCAGGAATTGCAAGTGAGTGACAATTATTTGATATGCTACTGATGTTACAGCTTCCATGAACTTTTATATGCATTCTACCATTCATGCATTAAAACGCGTCATATGGAACAGAATATACTATTAGACACAGATGTACAGATCCTATTAACTTCCTAATTCCATTAAAAGGAGTTTACCTAGTTTGTTTTATTTGACTTGCATGCAAGGATTGTTTTAAAATGGGACTAATAGAATATAGAATACAGAGGAAATAGATTCAATTGGAAGATCTTTTGAGCAGGGTCCTAATTAACCAATTGTTAAATTGTCCTCTTTATAATATTGTAAAGAGCTGCAAAGTTAGTTGGAGCTATATAAATGGCAGTAATAATTCAGACACTGTTCCATACACAGTATTTATAATACAGAAAATTGTTATTTGGAGCATCAATCTGCCTTTTCTCGCTGTAGGTATAGTTTAGTTTTGTTCTACAGAAAGAAAGCATGACTCTTAGTGAAGGTGATAGCACAAGTATGGGGTCACAGCCAGGCTGCTCACTTAGCTTTAGAAGAATCTTGCAAATTCTTCTCAAGGAAAGATATGCAGGTTTTAAAAACTTATTTTTATTTATTTTTTGTTAGAAAAGAAGGAAAAAATAATGGCCTACCATACTTGGTAACTTCTGAAATTGCTTGAGCCAGAGATTATTCAAACGATTAACTATTTAGTGGATGAGAGTGAAGATTCAAAGTAGAGCCCCTACGCATTTGGGATATTTGAATTAACGCTTTAAAAATTAGGGCTGTACTCTTGGTTATGTACGGAGAAGAAAATTAACAAAAATAGAGCCACGAAATGCAAGCTATACGGAACACAAAAATTACATCAAGGATTTACTTAAAACAAAATCGAATTACCGAATTGTAATGATGGGACAGCTGAATACAATTTGATTTACTAAAAATGAACCATATGGTGATTAATGGCTAAGATTATATGCAATACCTATACGCTTGCTAAACAGCATCTTGCGGTCATTAAAGCCATGTGGCAATAGCTATGATGTTAATTCTTTCCATAAAAGTGGCGCTTATATCTTTGCAAGCCCTCTTGGCTACTAATGAAGGACACTCCCTAATATGCGAGACAAGCTTTTTATTGCCTACAAAGAAGAATGATTTCAACATGTTATCTCAACAAAGGCCTGTGGTTTAGATTAACAAACATGCTCCCTGTAACTTAAATTTATTAGAGAGAAAAAGGATGTAATCTCATAAAAGCAAGAGTAATAAAACGACTGAAGTTCACAGAAAGACTGCATGCTTTCCTTTAATGCATCATGCTTTTAATTGTAAAATATACATGGCATGTGGTGGTGGGAGACCACATATGCAAATTTAAAAAATCTTGTCTCGGCAACTCAATATTGACATTTAGCCACTTTAGGACTAATGACAGTGTTGTCATAGCAAACAGTAATTTAAAGATCCTATTCCAAAAGGGATTGACCAGTCATTTAAAAAAATGCCTAACTCAACTGAGCTCCCAAAATTAAATAAGCAAGGCATTCCATGCTGGCATAAATTGTTTAGGAAGCATCGGATAATGATGAGTGCAAAGAGTAACATTTGTTCCGTATGAGGTTAAATATGTGAATCAATTTGTTATCTAGAAAATTATTGTTCAAAAACAAATGATTTTCTATTTTTACGATCTGTGCAATGTACTATAATAGTATATCAATGGCCATTATGTACACTCTGTACTTTATAAATTTGCATTCACTGCATTTCCTTCCATCTAAAAAAAAAAATACTATTATATTTATGGGAAGTATACGTTCCTCAAAAGAATTGTTGCAAATGTTACCTTAATTTTTTGCGGGGGGAATGGTAAGCCATGAGAACTTGTAACATTTATTCAATAAACTAGAAATTGTGGAGAAGAGAATTACAATAATTTGGTCCAAATAAGCAAGTTGTAAAAATTCCCAGGTCTGTAGTTTTAGACCACAGTTTGACATTTTATAAATTCTCCACAATTCCCAGTCTAGTGGTCTATTTTACTGTTTATTTTTGGTTTGTTTTACTTAAAAAGTCAACTCCCACCTATACATACTGAGGACTTCAGCTCATCAAGATATGTATTGTTATTCTGGAATCCTTTTAGCTAATAGAAACATATAAACATAGAATGTGACGGCAGATAAGAGCCATTCGGCCCATCTAGTCTGCCCAATAATTTGAAATACTTTTAATTAGTCCCTGGCCTTATCTTAAGTCTAGAATAGCCTTATGCCTATCCCACACATGCTTAAACTCCCTCACTGTGTTAACTTCTACCACTTCCGCTGGAAATGGCTATTGAAAAACTATTGTATTATTAGCTATTAATTATTAAAGGGACTAATCGGCAAAAAATGTGAATGCCACAGTCAATATACACATAAAAATAAACTGTATTGATGATATTACCAAATGTATAGAAAGAACACACAATTTTTATCAATGCATTTTTTCAATTGTTTGCACAAGAACAACTAAAAAGGAATGCCATGTGTCATGGAAGGGTAGAAGTGTGACAATCCCACAATTTAGCAACTGACATTAAAGGCTGTTCTACTCAACACTGGTACATTACCTGTTGATGGATTGTAATGCTCTCCATCATTTACCAAGACTTTGTTAAAACGAATAATTCCAACGTCATCAGAAATTAAATGATCACTTAATCCAGCGGAAAAGGATATCATTTGCGAAGTTGATGCAAAGTAACCTAACAAACAGAATTGAAAATTATTAAATAATAATTAAGAAAAAAATAAGGAGACGAATGATGGAAGGGTAGAAATAAGGAATTGGGTGGTGGGAAGGGACACTGTTTAGGGAAGGTTGGCAGGTTGGAAAAATAATGGAGGACAAATGAGAATAAAGGAGACTCATACAGACCACCACCATCCTATTTTCACCACCTATCACTGCAAAACATACACACTCATTGCACACATGCATGTGGTTTGCCCTTTACTCAGTCCTTCTCCCTGTGCAGAGAGGAGCTGAGAAGTCTGAATTGAATGGTTTCTATCAGCAAAAGTAGCTGTTGCCCTGGAGTATAACGCCTATTAGTTTCAGGCAGACCAAGAAATACATGGTCCAGCACTGCACTGCATCAATGAAAGTGTGCATTACGTAAGTAATGAACGCATAATATCATCCACTGCGCAGTGCGGGGCCTGAAAAGATTAACTGCCCGTTGAAATAACATTTTCTATAATAATATATATTCATACAAACATATAAAAACACACCTTATGTGAGACTTAGATGATCGTTTTCTGAAACATCTTTTTAACCAAATCCAGCTCAGTAATAGAAGAATACATCATGCAAAAACTGGCAATGGTGCAACTTACACGTAAGGCTAAGTTTATTTCTATGTAATATATATATTAGTACTTGGCTAGTTTTACAGGCAATCAGGGCTCTTGACCTCTCCAGGAACCTGTAAAGAATCTTTGCCTAGAGGCCTATGCTTAGCGAACATTAGTTAGTACACCACATGACTCCCATATGGTAAATTTTAACCTTGCTATAAATGTGGGGTCATGTTCCTTTGGAACAGTTTTGCATAAACCTTGAACACACATGCTGTAATATGTGTGACTGTTAAGTAGCAATCTCCAATTCTCTCTTCAGGGATTTTCAATATAATTTACGCTGTTCATCCACATCTTTCTCTATTACTTTACTGGTTAGGGTAATTTACATGTATTTATATATTAAACAGCAAAATTAAGAAAAGGAAAAAAACACAACTCCTAATTATCAACTTGGGCCTAAATCTGCAATTTAGTTTTTCCGTTTACTGTTTAGTAAATATATTCGGAGCTTCAAGCGTATTACCCAATTCATACTGTTTATCATGGTCAGCATTATTCACTAATATGCAAACTGTGTTTTCACGTCTATGATTATGGGCGGTTATTTGAAATCCCAATGAACTCTTGACAATTCACCATTTAGTGAATAACGTGTTTATTCAAAATGTATTTCTAGTTATTTAACAGTTCCTGTATAGTGCTCTTATCCAGAGCGTTTTACAAAATTAATCACAGGTTTTGTTACAAGGACATATACAATTTGACATACTGACATAAAGGGTGTAGGGAACCTTGACTGTGGCCTTTAATACAGTCATGCTATTCTACTATACTGAGCCATTGTTAGCCACCAGGAAGTCCTCAAGCTGTAGGCTGCCATAGCAAAATTAAAATTTGTAGTTTTAGGTCTGCAACGGTAGGAGGGCAACATATAGGGAACTGACTGACTATAAACTTTTTCTGTTTGATTATTCCATGTTTCAATTAGGAGAAGTAGCATTTAAATCAAACTATATTTTAGATTTCCATCTTTAAAGGCAAACTATAGTGGCAGGAAAACAAAGTTGCTTTCCTGGCACTATAGCTCCCTATAGTACCCCCTCCCCACTCACTCCGCATGGTGCAGAAGGGGCTAAAAAATCCTTCTGTCACTTCCCTAAGTCCAGCACCGATGTCCCTCAGCGTGGGCTCTGTACCGCCTCCGCTCCTTTCCTGCTGGCTGATATCTAATGCGCATGCGCTGTAATGGCCACGCGTGCATTAGGATTTCCCGATAGGAAATCATTATATAATTCAGGTGCCACTGTATGCCCTCATGCATAGCATGAGGGCATCCAGCGTCAGGCAACCAAAAGTTGCCCAATGGCCCGGATGTCCCCCTAGTGGATGTCTGGTAAATTATAGGTGAATTTCAAAGTATTATTCAATGGTGCGATTTTCAGAATGATAGTCCTGCTTTAAGATTGCTTGCCACTTTGGACTCTAGGTCATCTGTCTAATTTCATGGATCCACAGAAATGTCAATAAACATATAATATAGTCCTAACATATGTAGAAATAATATAAATTACCTTTTGATTCTGAAAACACACGTAATTCAGGATGCTCTGAAAAGATAAAAGAAAACAAATAAATAATAATTAGATTGCAAATACAATTACTTCTTGCTTATTTTGTTTTAATTTGTGAGATAAAGAAGAGAGATAAGAGCCAACTGATCAAAAGGTATAGACAGGAAGTGGCAGAGGGAGTTTTTTTCGCCACTGGAGAGATTATCAATAAACCTCTGCCTTTCTGGGTTTTGCAAACAAAAACAAATATTCTGCATGCTAAAACATGTTGCAATGAGTTAAGAAAAAAAATCACTGATCCAGATAATACAACACACCTCTAATATTTATATGGGCTAGGTATGCTCATATAGTGTGATGTACACTAGGTAGATTTTCATTGTAGGGGAAAATATGGCCCCCTCCACTTTTGATCACTCTCAAGACTGACTGGCCAGGTTTACTAAGTGTTATGGTAGTATCATTTTAGTGAGGCCTCGTACAAAAAATAAGTGAATAGATGTGTTGCAGGAAACATACACTTTAACATTTCCAATGAGCCTGTGCTTAAAGGGAGCAAGCTGTTTATTCATTTTTCAATTAAAATAATTAATATGGAAAATAGCTGTTGGCCCGAGTCATTTGTGTTTCTATGATTTACTGCAAAAAAACCATTTGAAAAATGGGTGGAAAATACCAGATGTATACCCTTAGTGCATCTATATCCCCATGTTTACTAGTGAACTTCCTGCCCATCTGGTTCTCAAGACAATGATAAAACAAGGACTAACACACAATCAGTTACCTGGTGAAGCAGCTGTGGGTTTGGGATAACCTACAAAAGGAAGGAAATTAAATATTCAATTGACAAGTGATAGATGCACATTTAACATTTTCACTTAATAAAAGTCATCACTGGAAGATAATCCGTGAACTGGATTTCAATTGTGGACAAATAATGTACCATGTCCATTGGAGACTGGGAGCAATATTTTTTTAACCCCTTAGGACACATGACATGTGTGACATGTCATGATTCCCTTTTAGTCCAGAAGTTTGGTCCTTAAGGGGTTAAACAATTACTATTTCCATTCTGAACACAGTGATGGGTAATGTTCTAGAAACACCTTTTCTGCCACACTTTAAAGCCTAGATTGAGAATATGGAGACGTGTTGCACCCAAGAACAGATGTCTGAATACACACAGTGATTTGGCACAGTGCTCGTCAACCTCACCAGTCACTCATCTTACTAGATTGAGTCCTTACAGTTTTATATCTCCAGTCCTACACCTCATATTTTCACTTTGTGGCCTATTTATTGTTATTTATTTTAACGATATAGCAGGTGCAATTTGGTATACAAAGTAATATTCACATGAATTGTATCCTATTTCTGTAATGCAACCAAGTATGGTGACATTTTAGAATTCTCTTACCTGGTGCTCCAGCAAACCCTGTTGCAACCGGCATGTCTTGTTGTCCATCTACACCTTGAGGTCGATCTGATCCAGATTTCAATATTTTTCCTGGAGGCCCAGCCTGTCCACTCTCTATGATCATTCCATTGTTACCAGGAAGTGGTAAGGTGATGACAGATCCTGGCAAGAAAGGTGCAACTGGTTGAGAGGGTATTGGTTTTGGTTTTGGATAGGCGGATTCCTCAGGTAACTTTGGCTTCAGTGGTTCATCTGGAACTTTTGGCTTAGAAGGATACTGAGGTACATTTGGTTGCACGGGTTCTTTACTTGATTCTGGAAGCACTGGTAGCTGTGGACCCTGTGGGGAAGATGGCTTCAGTGGTGTTTTAGGAGGTGGTAGTGGAGGTATTACTCTTTGTTGAAAACCATCTGTATCTGTAAAGAATATTGAAGACAATGTACAAAAAAAAAGAGATTTATTTTATGAATATGTGTTATGGTATTATCTACCAATAATGAATGAAATGGGTCTTAAAGTAATGCATTACACTAGTTCTTGTATTCAGGCACATAAGTCCATTAAATGGAAAAACACTTCACAGCGCAGTTTTCAAAGATGACCTATGCTAACTGGATTTGATCAAAATAGGAGCTTAGGGGAGTGGCTAGTACTTCTAATAGGTATGGCTGAATATGCTACTGCAAAGTAGAGGGGGAATAGAGCTTAACAGAAGTCAGCTGTATCCAGTGGCAGGGGAACTAATGTAGTGAATTTAGTGGGCAAGAATTTGTTTGGCACCCATCTAGCGCAAGGGTGGCCAAAAGGTAGATCCCCATCTGTCATCCATTCTCACAATGCTATGGCTGCTGGGGATCTATCATTTGCCAAATTTGCAAGGTTGTATTTGTGAGCAGTGTTTGTGCTTTTGAATGTAATCATATTTTTGCATGGAGTGTGTGTGTGCGCATGTAGGAGTGTATTTGTATGTACTGTTGCCAATGGGATGCAGTGATGTACTTTTTGTAATGTTTGCATTGGAATGTAGTTTGTATGTAGAGTTGGCTTTTAAATGCAGGTGCACTTTTGTGTATAGTGTTGGTGTTTGAATGAAGGAGTGTTTGCATCTATTTTTGACATTTTAATATAGTGGTGAGATTGTGATGTTCCGCTGCTGCTTTTTTCTGCAGCTATGGTGTCAAAGAATATAGACGGGGTGTGCACCCAGCATGTAGCTTCTACTCCGTGGTAGAGGCAGAGTCAGAAAGAAGCTGTGTATAGGACGTGTGTACATTACCCACGTTACTCTTGGCCACTTTTACCAACTAACTGCAAACAACTAACTCGATATCAATACAGGTTTATTTTATGCTGTATTCTGAGTACCATTTGTTGTACCAATTTTTTTTTTGAAATGAATTAAAAAAAACAAAAAAAACAAAGAGGATTGATAGTAAAAAAAAATAAAAAATTATTGATGGTCAGGTGACAGCCATTAAATGTTGACTTGATGTACAGATTAAATGGAAGAGACCAACAGAGGGAAAAAAGGAGGCGCAGTAAAAAAAAAAAAACAAATAAAAATGCCCCAAGCAGAGCAAACCAACTTCATTCCAAGCGTTCTGGTGTCTGAACAGAGTGGCATAACGTCACTCCATTCCTATACTACTTAGCACTGGAGTACAAACAGACAGAGGTCTCTTCTGATTTTGGCAGACTTCCAATTCTTTGGAGAAAAATCTTTTTCTAAATATGCATTTCTCCAAACCTACACATTTGCCATCAAAACTATAAGCACGATGTATGGATGAAATTTGAAGCTTTTTTAAAAGAGCTCGAGTTGATTTTATTTTTTTCCATGACAGATTCTCCTCAATGCACCAACATTAAAAGGATTACATTGTTATTGCGATCGAAACCCTTTTTTTTATTACAATATTTAGATTTTATATGGGTTTTTGATAAGATATATGCAACTGCATTTGCAAAGATATATTCATTATTTCTTTTTTAACTAGTTATTATTTTCCTGCAAATTAACAATTTTTTTGGGTGATATCCTAAAACAAATACATGACCTGCCAAAAAAATTAAAGTTTCACCAGACAACTCTGTGGAATCAATTAGTACAATAAATATCCAAACGAATGTCCGTGAAAGGTGGCAGAAATAAAGGAGACAAATAGAACAGAGTTGGTTTACCGGTTAACTAAGAAGGCAGAGTGCAGACTTGCTGGCTCTGTGATGAATTTGGCTGTTGACGTCTTCTCATTTTGGGCTCCTTTCACTAAGCAACACTGCCAAAAAATAAAGAGCTGACAGCGCTTAACTAAATCATATTTAGTTGCTTTTTGCTGTGTTTTAGAGAGCCAGTGCTGCCTGTATTTCCACATAAACAGTAACCATTATACCTGCAAACCTGAGCCAGCAATCCAAGTAGTGTAACCTGACCTTGTATGTGCACCAATCACTATTCTGACACCTTCAGAGCATTACTGGGATTAGTACATAACTTTGCTCTCTTCTGTGCGACTAAAAGGGTTACTAAATAAAACATTTAATTAAAACAAACATGTCGTGGAAACTCAGTTTGGATCTAGGATCCTAGGACCTTTTAATGACAGTGCGTTGGGCTCACCATTAGAAGTAAAACTATAAGGTTAAACATGCTCCCCCAACTATTCCAGTTTAGACAGGACAATCCAGTTATTTCGGGTTCTGTCCAATCATCCCAACTTTGTTCTCTACTGCACAACATTCACATCATTAGACGTGCTGTACGCAGGAAACTAGGCTATTGTAGGGGGCTCTGAAACATTGCTCCTCGCAAGTCCTGCCCTCAGTAGGCTACATTGGCAATGACTGGCAGGCAGCCAGACATGTATTCACACAGGATACCAGTCAGTAATTTGGGTGGACACAGCCCCTTAATGGGTGGGTCCACCCTGTAGGGTAGAGCCAGTGTTGCGATCATGTCATTGACTTGCCCCCTTTCACCCCTACCACCAGCATCCCACTTCTTGGGATGCCAATGTTGAGGGGGGTATGGGATAGCCAAGATCTACTATTAACCAGTGATAGGTTGGTACCTGGTCTTTATTTACTTTGTGTGCAAGAGATTCATTGGACTGTGGTGTGCAATCTCTCTTCCATCTGCTGCTGCTATACGATTATAAAAAGATATAGGAAAAAGAGTAATAAAACCTAATTCTAAGTGCCTCAATAATAGTACCCTGGCCCTTTTTCATCGCTCAAAACAGCAGGGATCACAGGTTGTATAGTGCCTGATAGGCTATATGTTTAGCAGCTCTTATAGCTGGGCTTTATTATGCATATATTGCTATCAACAGGGTTTTATAAGAAGTGTTCGCACTTCTCAGCAGAGATCCGAGTGAGGCTGGTCTGGCAGTCAGTTCAACGGACATGGCCACCATCCAGGTGGACGCACCTTATTGTTCCCGTCCACCCATTGTTCATGATCCCATACCTTCCTATTTAGGGAGTTTTATATAAATTTTCAACATCTACAGTTTATTTGTTTAGGTTGAAGGAGTTATGATCACTTTATAAAATGTTTCTATGTTGGCAGCTGCAATTCAGCTAGTAAAACCAACCCCATAGAATCTATCCTTTCCCAAATGTACTTGCACCTTTGTAACTTGCCACGGTGCAACCCCGTACAATGGTTACTCATTCATGCTAACCTAAGGAAACAAACACAGACATTTGAGAAATGCAATGCTTTTCGGTAAACATTTTTAGGTTTCAACACTGTGAAATTACCCTAATCTTACAGCTATCTGAAAATCTGGTTATACTTTGCATTGACCAGTTACACATTTACATCTACCACTAAAAGCAGGATTTTGTGATTTTCTCAATCCTATGTACAATGTACTTATAAGGAAGAAAATCTCGATGGGCAGAAACACATGTTTCTGTAGAATGCAAAACTGAGAAGAATGTGGTGCTAAATGTCTTCTAATCCATAAATTCCTACATAGAAATTAAATAATTGCACGTTCCACACTGGGTTACTGATAGTCAACTAACCTCCAAGCTTCGAATTTGTGAGCCAGAGAAGAAATTTGTAACTGGCTTTGTTGCCTACTGAGCATTTAGCGGAAAATTTTTGGTTAGGGACATATCCATTTCACTAGACTACCAAAGCTTTATATGCAGCTTGTAAAATGGCAACATCAGGTTTAAGTTTGTATGTTTGTTTGAATACATATTATGTCCTTTGATGGTCACAAATACACAACAGACTGGAAGCTTAACAGTGATCTTCTCAGATCACTACACATAACTTCTATCTATTCCCCATTCCTGCGATTTATTATCTTTTATCATCTTAATAGTTGTTTAGAGTGATTTATCATGCTCTCTAATTAAAAACATTGGATGCCTTTCTTTGATCACACCTTCACTGCAAATTAACTTGACAAATATATACTCTGCATACTAGTATATAGTGACACGTCAAATTTATGTTTAAACAAACTGTTCAAAGCTAGATTGTATAGTATGAGAGATGAGATTTTCACTAGTATCACTCACATTCCTGATTGAACAAGACTGCAAGCTCGTTTGGGCAGGGTCCTCATCTCCCTATTGATTTTGTATCAATCTGTAATGTTTCACTTATTATTACATGTTCCCCTTTCAAAAAATTGTAAAACGCGGTGGAATAAGTTGGCGCTATATAATAATAATAATAAGAAGAAGAAGAATAAGAGTGAAGCATAACACAAAACAGAAAAGATCTCGCTTTTCTGCAGTCTTTTACAAAGCAAGATGGCTGCTCACAGCAAGCCTTATTTTTCTTACCAAGTGATATGCATCAGAAAATAGTAGACTTGCAAATATCAAGCTGATTCGAGGCAGCATTCAGTAATCACAGACTTTAATTTCGTAGAGATGTGCAATCAATTTAAACATTTGATCTACTTCTTATGTTAATTTTTATTTTCCCACTGCTCATAATTGTTGGGTAAATTCACTGATTTGATTGCATGAAATGTTTTGCATGATTTCAGTTTGGAAACATCCCAAGTTCTCATAGCTAAAATAAGTGTCTGTGCATATGCAGTATCAGTAATGATGTGTTTTTCTGAACGCCAGAGAGTAAATGCTGTTCAAATGTCACAGACACATTCTCTCAGTCATTTTCAGATTATGTTGCCTTGTCTGATAACAGCGGGTAACGTTAGTCTTTGTATATTGGTGGTTTGATAGATTGGGCGCTATATCACTTTTTACTAATGCCAAGAATATTACTGTAACATCCACTGCATTCAAAATGTTTGGTATATTGCGTACATGGTTGGATGCATTGAAAAATCGGCTTTTATAGGAAAATGTCACTTCATAGGCTATTATTACTTTGTTTTCTTATCCCCTATACCAGGGGTAGGCGACCTTTGGCACTCCAGAATAGTAACAACAAGGTGTACTTGGCACTAGCAAATAATTGCACATTATCCCCAGTGCCAATGATCACCTAATTTGGCACAAACATAAAATATAACAATACAAAACCAAGGTGGGGGGTGCACATGTAATACTAACAGTGAGTACTTATACTGGTCTTCTCAATAGGTATACATTTGTCCAGATCTTTATTGAAACATAAAGACAAATACTTGGTATAAAACGTTTTTTAAAGGTATTAATAGCAAGGCTTTTTCATAGAACTACTTACATTTACCAGAGCCACTTATAGCAAGCTTCGGCTCTGAAGGCATGCAGTTTGGTCAAGTATCTCAACCACAGCAGTCTGGTCCACAGGTAAAGTAAAGGAGTTTCCAGGATGCTTCTCCCACCTTGATTTTGTATGGTTACATCTCCCCTGATGCTTTGCCAGCATTATGGCTGTAAGAGCATTATGGGAGATGTAGTCCATAACATCTGGAGTGCCAAGAGTTGCCTACCACTGCCCTATACAGTAGTATCTCGCTTTATAGTGCTTTGCTAATACAGTGCTTTTCCATTATTTTGAGATGATGAATCCTCCACTATATTGAGGTTAGCAATAGTATTATTATTATTATTATTTTTACTCCCATTAACCCCTTAAGGACACATGACATGCGTGACATGTCATGATTCCCTTTTATTCCAGAAATTTGGTCCTTAAGGGGTTAAGTGTGTTGTTTGTGTTTGGGTAAAAGTATTCACAAAATGTAAATACAATGACTGGTGATGGGAAAATGCAGTTTTTTTAATCAAATTAAATGTTTTCTCATGAAAATGTATTCTCCTATGTCTGAAAGCAATGGAAGTAATATATAACATCGAATTTATTTATAACTCCCAATATTTCTACAAATGCTGCCCAAAAAAAATTAAATACAAGAAAAACTAAACAGGTACACAATTTCAATTTTAGGCATTTTTGAGCTGCGGTTTTCTCAATTTATGTTTTGTCCTAATTTCAAACACCCCTAAGCTTGCATCCCATGTTTCCAATTTGTAGTGGAAGGGTTGTTATAAACTCAAAGATACAAAGACCAATATTGTACCTAAAATAAGATGTCCGAAGTAGATTTGAGTGTGCATTACAATCCATTTGGAAAAAACCTAAATACCAAGATACATTATAAGTCAGTTTTGGTAAAACAGAGGAAAGACTTATTATTTCTGTGTAATTTGCAATGTTAAAAGTATGCCTCTTATTGTGCATTTTTACGTTTCTGATTTCACTTAAAAGGGTCAAACAGTAACTTTTTGTTAACTCTGTTTTGGAGAAATATTTGCATTTGTTTTAGGAGCTAAAAAGTTTAGGTGAAACGTACCTGAACCTGGTTTATTCTTGAGAAGATCTTGAAGATCAGAAGTGATTTTGATGACCCGGGTGTTACAGACCTGGACAGATGTATTGAGGCCGTAAATGTCAGTTGTATGAGATTTTATTGTCCCATTAAGGATACGTACAGAGTTCCACAAACTGGTAACATGCTTATTAAGCCCATCTTTAATCCTTTGCAGGCTGCCAGATATGGTGTCTAGTTTCCCGCAAACATTTTCCAACTTAGACAGCCTTGCATCAACCCGAGCGTTGTCTGAGCATTTTCCTTTGTCAGCAGATACTTTGCTGTTTAGAAGTTCAAATTTGTCCTTAAGACTCTTACAACATTGGTCATTTGAAGCAGGTAAGGAGGTGTGGTTGCAGAGATGTCTCATTTCATCTAGTTTTGAAGAAAGTCCCATATTGGAGTTCGTAGCAGTAGAGTTTACCTCTATCAGCTGGTCATTAAACAGACTCATTGCATTATTTAATGCATTCACATCATCTTCAGTCCTGCTGAGGCTGTAACGAAGCGAGCCCAGTTCACTCCGAACTTCCTCAATACCTAGTTTGTTGTTTTGAATTAGTTCAAACCTTTCATTGAAAGTATCATTTAGTGACTTCAAAAGAACGGCATTATCACTTTCTCTCTGAAGCAAGATTTGATAATTGTTACTATACCAGTCATTACTTCCGTGTTCGCCTTGCTTTGCTTGTAAGATGGATTCCAGTTGGTTCTCAACCTGCTGAACTGTTAACTTCAAATGGCGGAGTTCATCTAAATATTCACTGGGATCATTACTAAAATAATTTCCACCAGTAGAATAATTGGAAATCTCCAATAAAATACTTCCTAGTTTGTCTTGAACTGGATGGAGTTTACGGTCAATTAAATTCTTAATGTCTTCATGATTAGATTCAATCAAGCTTCTCAATGATTCTTCAATATAATAGCAGTGCTCCTCCGCATTCTTCTCGGTAACATTAATCTTAAAGTCTAACTCATTCAGTCTTTCATCAAATGTATTGTCCAATTTAATGGTGTTAAAATGGGACACCTCATTATCTATCCTAACATTAAGGACTCTGTGCGCTTCAGCAATCTCTTCAACCTTTTGATTCAAGTTTTTAAATTTATTCTCAAAACCATCACTTTTGCAACAGCCTTTACCATCTGGTTGTTTTTGAAACAGGGTTCTTAGTTCATTTATTTCATTCCGGAGAGCGGTTTCCTTCTCTTTGAGAAGCTCTGTCACTTCTAAACAACTAGACTCCTGTTCCTCACACTCCTGTTGGGCATTAATTAATTTATATTCACAAGAGTTCTTAAGATCTGCCATTTTTCGGTCCATTCCATCCAAGATTTCATTTCTTAGTGCATCAACCTTTTCTTCTATGTATATCTGATTAATATTAGGACCAGATACTGTGGGTTTAGGAGCATTTGAAGCTTCCTCGAACTCAATCAAACGTTCCTCATAGGAGTTAACCTTTCTGTTTAATTCCTCTATTAATTCACTTTTGTTTCTTAACTCTTCTCTTGCATTCTGTAATTCAGAAAGTATATCTCTCATTCCATCCTCTCTTTCAGCACTTCCTGAAAATGGAGGTAAATATATTGTCTCTGTTTTACCTCCAGTAGCGCTGGCTGTAGGCTGCAAATTGTTAAGCCATGAGGATATAATTTTACTTGCATCTTCTTGAATTGTGATTTTTAGGTTTTCATTTACTCCCGCCACAGATGTTTGTAAGTCAATGATGGTCTGAGTAAGTCGAAGCATTTCATCTTCAAGAAACTGAATTTTTTTTTCCTGTGCTTCATTTAATTCCTGGAATTCCTTTCTGGGGTTCAGAATTTCTTTCTGTGGTCCTGTTGTAAAAAATAAACAATAGGTAAAGAACAGTTGTAAAAAAAATGAAAAACAAAAACTCAACTGGCTATTTGTATACAATTATATGGGTTAGCACAGTGGTTCCCAAACTTTCTAGGTTCAAGGCACCCTTAATATTTCAATATTTTTCCAAGGTGCCCTATGTCAAAATAATTTTCTAGGTTGTATATATGTGCAGCACTGCCCTTGTTCAGCAGAAATGCTTGCCGTTGAGGCGCAGATCCAGAACCTAATCTTGGGAAGGGCACTGGTAGATTATTTAAAGAAACAATCCAGGCACAATAGCCACTAGGATAGGGGCAGTAGTGTGTGTGTGTGTATATATGAGGGGTGTAATATGTGGTTGTGAGGGGTACAGTGTGTGTGACGGTTGCAGTATGTGCGTGTGATGGGTTCAGTGTGTTTGTGAAGGATGTAGTGTGTGTGTGTGTGTGTGTGTGTGTGAGGGGTGCAGTGTTTGAAGGATGTAGTGTGTATGTGTGAGGGGTGCAGTGTGTGAAGGATGTAGTGAGTGTGTGAGGCAGGCTGTATGAGTGGTGTGTATAGTGTGTGTAAGTGTGTGTGTGTGTGTGTGTTGGGGCAGGTTGTGTGAGGGGTACAGTGTGTGTGAGGGGGTAATGTGTGTATATGGGAAGGCAGAGTGTGTGTACGGGGGGAGTTATTGTGGGTCTGTGGGCATAGCAGATAAATATATACTTTTATTTTTATTTTTAAAAAAATAAAAAAAAATTCCTCCCTTCTTACCTTTGCCTGGTGGGGGGACAGAACTAATCACTGGTGGTCTGGTGGAGTAGCCCTGTTGATTAAAGTGGTGAGAGTGAACTCTAGCAGCTCCTGAGGCTAAAGGTCATTCTTGCAGCAATGCTACAAGCTTGTGAGAGGAGAACCCGGTGGAGATGCAGCTTAGAGCTCCCCCGGGTCCTCTCTCTTCCTCCCCTGCCGACTATCATTACAGTGCTAGTGGGCCGTTGAAGGAGCTCTCTGATCTCCCCTCCGGTCCTGCAGAGCTGGCAGGGGAGAGTGAGGCACAGTTCCCGGTGCTAGGATCATATGATCATAGCACCAGGGAAATATTTTGCGGCGCCCCTGAGTGCCCGTTGCAGCGCGGAACCGCTGGGTTAGCGTCTATTGTAGGACAGAATTTATCATTCATGCATGGCTTAAAATTTCAAGTTCTACATTATTAACCAGACCTTAGATGTTGCTGGCCACATCAAGCCTGGAGGGTCCATAACACTTACCAATCGTAAATGTCTACTCGCCAAAGCTGAATTTGCACTCGTTGGTGGTTAATGACTATTGACGAGTGAAAATTTTAAACCCAAAATCATGTTTCCCCAGCCCAGGAGACTGCCCCACTTAAATTAGAATGCATGAGAGCCTTGTGTTCTACTGCACACATATCAATGTTCTTGATATGAAATCATGTACAGTAGACTTGGTCAGTGTTTAATTTGTGATGGAACAATGAATATGCATATAATTCAAACATTTTAAATTTTTAAAGGGAGGAAGGTAGGTCCTTGGCATTAGCATGGACATCTTTGTGGCTTCCAGAAGTATGGTATGCCCTGCTCTTGTAATTATTTTAGTTGGGCAATCGCTCATGGGAAGTAGAACTCCCCCCCTCCCCCCACTTAAGAACACAGTTTGCCTTGTTTTACCTTGCTTTAATTTTATCAAAGACTTAAAGGGAACCGGTCAGCACTTACCTTATACTCCATTCCCAGTGATCTCATTACAGAGGTGGGGGATTTACACTTTTGTAACACCTACGCCCGGTCTTTTCACTCTCTTGTGGACACTTCCCCAAGCAGGGCAAATCTCTTGAGTGATGGAGACATGCTGACTGCTTTACCAGCACATTAAAAAAGTCACTCTGTTCCTATACTTCCACATTATATGAGCTATGGGAAAGTGATGAGAGGTGTCTCTCCTGCTCTCCTTTATCAATTTCTCAGCATAGAGTCTATGCTGAAGAATTGATTGACAGTTGGCAGAAATGTTTTTTCTCCCAAGCTATACATTTGCAACCAATTCTGCCAGCACAATGTTTAGATGGAAATTTATGCTCTTTAAAAAGAGCAGATGTAGTTTGGAACATGGCAGATACTCATAAGTAGTAATGTAACAAGTCAACAACTCTTTCTGAAGTAGACGGATCAAGTGATCAAGAGTGGACTCTTCACAAAAACAAATTAAAAAAGACAACAAAACATTTGTTTAGTCAGATACTCTTAATTAACTGGACTTGAAGAATGGATTATATTGCAGGAAAAATAAATTCAGGAAGTAATACATTTGAATATGTAGCTATTAAAGCTTAAGGAATTGTGTATACATGATAAATAAATGTATTGGAAGTCATGTGATTTATACTACTATCCAGTACTGGAACTAGCAGAAACTAACAACTCAGACTTAAATTGTTGATCTGAAAACGGATTAGTTAAATTTTGTGATACAAATTATTTTGTATACATTATTGCTTTTATATTTGTTTAGCTGAGAATATTTTTTGTTTAATATCATTATGCATCAGAAATTAATAGGCAGACCTCAACTCAAAAATTCTCATCTTACCTAAACCACTCTTTGCCCCGTTAGGCTGTGGTGTTTGTAGAGATATTTGAGGGGCATTTTCAGTAGGGCCTTCTTTGCAATCTTGACCTTTAAAACCCGGGCAACATCTCCACTCCAACTCTGTTACAACTTTGTATGATGTTGTATACCGAGGTCTGAAGCCCACTCTATACCTACAAACAAGATTTGGAGAAAATGCAACAACTGTATAATTATTGAGATTCATAACGGACAAAAAAAATACTTCAGGGGATAAATGTTTAATCGTTTAACAGTTACTGCTTTCATAGGTTGATTAATTTAACAGTGAGGTCAAAAAAAAAACAGATACTTCAATATAATGCCACTAAAATGCACTCTAACTTAAGAGCTGGCTGTTACAAACGCTGATATTCCAGATACCCTGGTCGTCTATTTCCTCCCGAACTGCTGAGCCTGAGTGATTATTGCATGCAGTTCGGGTGTAGATTTGAACGGTTCCAGACGAATTCAGCATCCAAGTAGTGTTCTCCCCAGCAAGTAGACAGTTACCCAAACATCAGCCTAGACTAGATGAAGGGTACAACAGGAATGATTTTAATGGGTGCCACACTGGCTTTTATGCAAGTCCCCATGTAAGGGGCACTCCCCCATGGACCTTGTGGGGGACAGGGACACAAAGTTTACAACCAATGATAACACAGTGACAAAGTGTGACACTCCCAATACAAACAGATAATTCCCTCCTCTTTGCCTGTGAGATAATTGAGTCAGATACAGTAATAACCTCAATTATCTCCAGACAGGAAAAACATTTTTCATAAAACTTGAAAAGTACCTAAAAACACATAAAATCCCCATGAATGTTATATCTGCTGGTATCCCTGATCTGGGTGACCAACATATCAAAAATCACTTCTGGCAAAACCGACCTCGCCACTGGGCATTGGAGCAGACTGATTGCCAGCCTCCTGCCATGTGACTATGGCCCCTGGGATGTATTGCCCTTTAAAGACATGATTTGGGCATAATGGATTTGTGTTGTGCTGCTGCTGGCCCTTTAAGAACCATCTGGGGACATACTGTGGAGTTACTGGGTGGCCGCCATTTCCTGTATCAAAGGCACATGGTGAGAACAATGGATGAAGCACATGGTGAGAACAATGGATGGCGGCCATTTTAACTCACAGACACTGTTTGGACTTTTCAACACAGTGCCATCTCGCCGGTATTTGGTGCACAGAGACATCGTGCAGTGGTTTTGGACTATATAACAGGGGACACATTATACAGTAATTGTTTTTCATTCAGCCTGCATATGTTCTGTGGAATCTGCATTAAACTGTATCTTCCAAAGTACTAAACGGATCTGGGTGAATTTTGGATATGTGGTTCACCTGGGTCCACCGGTTCCAAGGATATACTTTTTATGGGGTTGTTGCATGTTTTGTGGTCCCTGTGATATGTTTTATGGTGCTGTATTTTTCTGCCTGTGATAATTAGGGGGGAGGATTTTGTGTGGGAGTGTCTGTGTGTATTGTACAGATTGATTGGCTGTGTTTCAAAACCTTGTGGGCAGTACTATATTTGTGGATTGTGAATAAAAGAGGCTGTATGTGCCAGTCCAGTCAGTTCCTGTTTAACCCTCAAAGTGAAGTGTCGTCTCATTATTGGGGGAGGATTTATTGTATGCTGCTCCAGTTTGAGTGCTAGGAGTGTAAACCTATTCGCATGGTTTTTCCTATTCGGCTGTATACAACATTCATATGCTTAAAAGTACTCATATGCTTCTCCAGTTCGGTGATTGTGGTGTCTGCCAGAGTACTTGGAGTCCTCAGGAAACGCTAGGAGCATCCTTTAACGGAGGAAACCAGTCGGGGTGCCAGGCGATCCATTACATCACCCTGATCAGTTCAGCGGTTTTGGAATTTTATGAAAGTCTTATTTTGACCGACCGCACACCAGGCTCCTGCCCAGAAACAGTTCCATGAGTTTAGGCTGTGCGGTCAGTATATTTCGAAAAATCTAAAAAATGAACAAATGCATGAATGATACCCCCTGCTTTATAGCAGCGATTGTTCCCCTAGTTCGTGGGAACCAAACTACCGAACAGCGCTCTCCTGGCTGTTTGGGAAAAGGAAGCAGGCGTTCGTATGGTTTGACCGGTGTTCGGGAAGTCGAGTGTCCGATTTTAGTTCCAGGCACTCGATGACCAAGTCCCGCTGCCTCCTTTCGTGCGAACAAGATGGACGCCATTTTCTCCTGCACGTGGTGTTCGACTATATGAACAGCGGCCACACAGGGAGAACACTTATTTGACTGTTCTCTTTGGTGATAATGAGCCAGGGGGGTGGTCGGTGTTCGGTAGTTACAATACAGAACCAATAAAACATAAAAGTCCCAAATAACATTGGTTTCATTACACTGACTTTTTGTCAAAAACATTACATTTTGAGCAAAAAATATATAAAAGTCTTGTTTACAATTTTCTTCCCTTTCTGTTAGCTGATTTAATTATTGCATTGACGGTTACAGATTGAGAAATATCTTGAGTTAACACAACATAACCATTGCAGCTTTGTGTAGTTGTTATTTTAAATACAATATTGGGGTACTGTCTCTTGGTTTTATGTAACACTATTTAAAAGTGCACTATTAATCATCCAAATGTAATCTTATTGTAGCTGATAAAATGGTTGCTCAAAACTTAGGTTATCTGGTCACAGTGCACACAGATTGCTAACCTAAGAAGCATAAGATAGGCTGTGCATGACTAGGGGAGTTTCACACACACACATGGGTTTATCTACTAAACTCTGAATTGTAACTATTAAACAACTGGTTTGCAAAAAGGGAAGCTAAAATAGCCATGCTGTGACTGACTGTTTTGGAGAATTTTTACAGATCAGATGTATATGTCAGTTTTGTGATTGGGATTAAAAGTTTCTTTAGTTTCGAGTATGGTGGCTTGATGACCAAAGAGTCATCAACTCACTGTACTGGGAATTTACATCCTAACAAGATGAGTGACCTTGCTGGAATTTAACTATGACCATGGGCAGGGGGATCCTGGCTGAGGTGGGTGGGATGTATTGATATGATGCAATGAAATTGCATGTAGAATAACCCTTCAATAATCATCAGTGGTTGGTTGAGCCTGATAATATTTATTTTTCCCCACATAGCTTTATATACTTGATTGGAGAGTGTCCAGCACCAGCAATCAAGTAACTACTGGCCAAAATGTGAGTGGATTTCCGTTACTTCATAGAATAAAGTTATGGTTTGCACCCAGGGATAAACCCCTGTATTCATGGGATGGTTGGCAGAGTTGGTAGGGGGGAGCAAATGCCCGGTTACGGACTGCAGCTGCACATCATTTTTCTGCATATTAAAATAACAGGAGGTGTGGGAATTTCAGTGACAGTCAATAGAAGTGTTATTAGGAGGCAATGCAAACCCTGCTTTTTTCGAAAAAGGCAATGTTTACATTGAAAAGCCAGCATTGACTATCGACGCCAGAACCACTACATTAAGCTGTAGTGGTTCTGATTAATAGTGTCCCTTGAAGAATTGTATTTTTGTCATTGGAAAATAAATCTGTTAGTTAGAAAATAGTTGGCTCTTAGATTCAAAAGGAAATTTGTCAAACTCTTGGGTAGCCAGTGAGAATAGGTTGGGATTCAGTAAATCAAAGGTATAAGATTCACAATTAATTGGGCATTTTTTACTTTTAATGGATATATTGCATTAAAGAAACACTCCAGGCACTAAAATAACTTCATCTAAATGAAGTTGTTTGGGTGCTCGGAGGACCCTGGAGGCACCCCTACCTTCATGGTGTAAAACCACTCTTTAACGGTTTAAACACAAACTTGCCTCCAGTGCTGGTGTCCTCTCCTCCCTTGGAGGCATTCTGCTTCTGATTTTTCACTTAAAGGAAGTGCAGAGTGCCACCGAGCAGGGGAGCAGATGATTGGCTGAGAGTGGTCAGCTGACACTGATGCCAATCAGTGACTCCCTATTCACAAAACTGACAAGCAAATGGCACAAGAGGTGCTAAAACCAGCTTGAGATCTGAGCAGGGACCCACTGAAAGGCAGGCTATTTCAGCTGATGCCCATTCTCAGTATTCTTTTGCACCCCATTTTTTGCTTTCTTTGCAAGCCAGTTCCAGAGTGGAGACCAGCACTGGAGACAATTTTGGGGTTAAACCGCTGAAGGTAAGAGTGCCTCCAGGTTCCTACTGGCATCAAAAAAACGTCATTTAGATTAAGCTGTTTTGGTTCTTGGAGTGTCCCTTTAAAGTTTAGCATTTTAGAATAACATTTTCAAAGTTCATAAATGTTATATTTGCTCAAGCTAGTTATTATAGTGTGGTTATAACAGTTAGATTCTTAAAATAGGAAATGAAGGGTAATGAAAACACAGAACATGTCCCAGGAATAAAATGTGTACATAGAGTACAGACCTGCACAAGTTAATAAACAGCATGAGCAGGAAATCCAGAAATGGAAGCTTCCTAACCACAGGAACAGATAAGAAAAATAAATGGTCTTCTGTGTACAGTATACTTTTGCTGTATTGCATAGCTTTATAGACAAACTCAAACACAGCACAAGTTTTGCACGTTAAATATAGACTTTTTAGGCAAGGTGTAGTATTTTTCATAGGATTCTGCATTGTTCATTGTGAAGAAACCCCCCTATTCGCTATGTGATTTACAGTTTGCATTCCCTTTTATCCTCTATTTGCTGCCTATTGCATTCGGTAGATGAAACTACCGAACCGGGATCACCCTCTGGCTCATTAAACATCAAAGGTTTAGGTGAAATTTCTACCTCTGCAGTCAGCGTTCGTTAATCGAACGCCACGTGGCAGAGAAAACCGCGGCCATCTTTGTTCATGCGAACAAAGGCAGTGGGACCTGGTCGTCGAGTGCATGGAACTGTTTTACGGACACTCGACTTCCCGAACACCGGTCCCAAACAGACGAACGCTGGAACTATTTGCCGAATAACTAGAAGAGCACTATTCGGTACTTTGGTGCATTCGACAGAGGGGCACGAACGCTGCTAGGAGCCAGAGGGATCCATTCGGTACTTTTATTTGTTTTTATGTTTTTCGAAAGTGACCGGCAAAACCCACCAAATTCGTGGAATTGTTTTGGGCATGCAGCCCAGGGTGAGCCGGTCACACAAGACTTCCATAAAATTTGCGAACCCCTGAACCGATCTGGGTGAAATTCGAATATGTTGGTCACCCAGATCAGGGCTATCAGGGGATACCCCCAGTATAAAGGGGTGTTCTGAAAGTTGGGGAAAAGTGATTTTTCAGCCCGGAGATAATTAAGTTACTATTTTATCAGACTAAATTATCTCCTGGGCTAGGGGAGGGAATTGTAGGTGTGTGTTAACATTTTACTGTTTGTGATTGGTTATTGTTTGTCCCTCCCTGAGGGCTGTCCCCTTGCATGGGGACTTGCATAAAAGCTGTGTGCACCCATTAAAGGACAGTTCATTTTGTACCCTTCTTCTTGACTTCGGCTGATGTTTGGGGATTCGTGTGTTTCACTGAGGGAATTATCTGGTGAGACTATTGGAATTGCTATAGGATTCGTCTACCCTAACTACCGAACGGAGGGCTATAATCACTAAGGCTCTGGCGGTTCGGGAGGAAACTACCGAATGAGGTTTAAATATACTTGGTTTCCTTACATTCATGACACTGAAAGGGTTGCTTGGATCTAGAGATTGGGAATGTAACAAAAGCAGTGTTCACAAAATAACGAACGAATTTGGGTTTCCATTGCAAAGTCAATATCCTACAGCCGACTAACTCTCCCTGAGTCTTCCTATTTTTCGAAGTAAGTTACCAGCTTAATATCCCTGCCTAGTTACTTAGGTGATCTGCTGACTGGTCTTCATTACATCAGCAGTCTACCTTCTAAAGGCTTTACCTCTCGTGATATACAGCCATTCAAGATCCAGTCCAAGAATTATGGAATTATACTAAAGCAACACAATTCCACCAATGCTCAATATAAAGTGTAAGTATAAAACCAGTAAACAAATGATGGCAATACCCTCGTACCTTATAATCACAAAGGAAATATGTCAATACAGATGATGAAAAACATGATGGATACTTTTATGGCATCGTTTACTTGTTTTTACGGCTACACATCCCAGAGAATTCTGGAGCCCCTGGGGACATTACATATTAAGGGACAAAGCTCATTTTGTAAGCAGCTACCAGTGATGTTTGCTATATTTTGTAAAAACACCTTTTAAGTTACATATAAATAAAAGCAATGATGTTATATGTTCTAATCTCCTGCACTATTATCCTGTCTTTTTCTAAGCAATAGTTATATTTATTAAATTAGTTTGGTGTTGCCTGAGGGTATTACACTATTATATGCAATTTTTGCTGCTTGCGCTTGTTTATATTCTCTACATAAGGGCTTGTCTAATCCTGCATACAGTACAAAATGCATAGGTATATGGCTTTCTTTTTATCTAATACAAGTCATAAAAGGCAGCAAGATCTACACTCCACAGTGTCTTCCTGTAGGCTAAAGTCATAAAAGGAAATAGTTACGGAATTAGTTACTTAATTTATTTTGCCAGCTGTAGAGAAGAGATGAGAGAAGGTGCGGAAATAACAAGCAAGAAGGTCAAATGCTAGAGCACGCACAATGGCTAGAACTAGATAACTTCAGATTTAAGATACATTTATATGAACATACCAAATTACCTCATACAAACCACACAATGCAAAGAAAAATAACAATAGGACACAGAGTACTGAAACAACTCTGGCTTATTGAAGCAAATTTGGTGTATAGAACATGCCACATTCAGTCTCACTGCTGAATTATCTGCCATTAACATTTTAAATCACTTTATTTATGGAGCCTTAAAAACAAATCCCTTATCTGTGACTCGCATACCTCACTACACACGTTCCAAAAACAAGGTAAAATTGTTAAAAAAAAATAAATAAATAAAATCCCTTATTGCACAGTGTGTTTCACATAGAAGTCCTTTTCACTTCACTGCAAAATTGCCTATTTGTGTCAACAGCAGCCTCTTGTGATGATTAACGTTCTATTAACAAAGCAGAACATTTAAACATCTAAAGAAAAACATACTTTGAAAAAAAGATCAGTGGAAAAATTTTACTTTTTTTTTTTTTTAATAGAGGGGGACATCCATCGCAGCCAGGGGAGGTAAGGTTACGGCTGCATAAACAAAGTAATTTAACTCGGAATTATCAGAGAGTTGATAAGTGACCATGCAGGGGTATGATCTACACACTAAATGGTTAAAGTTATTTTGCTGCCTAGAGTATCCCTTTTAATACTCACAAAAATATATGGGGTAAACTAGAACCATATAAATGACAATAATAATAAAAGTATTATTCAAGGCAACGAACATGCCAAAAATGTTTGCATAGGTGTGCGCTAATTTAGCTGGAGTGTCAGATGCTACCCTGGCTGACAGGGGGATCAAAAGATCTCTCCCACATGTACAACTCATCGAGTTTAGTCTGTTCGAGGAAAAACACATGCCACTTCTAATTAGGTATTTAATCAATATTCAATTTATATACATATAAAAAAAAAAAAAAAAATACAGGGAAAGAATTCCCTTGTGCATGCCTATTTCAGTTTGTATTGACATGATGCGTTGGAATGCGGCTTACTGCCGTAAAAAGATAGAAGGGTTTACATATTTGTATGATTCTCGTATAAGAGGCATGGAGTCTATAGGTGCAAGTGTGCCGTTATATTTTTATGCAAGCGGTTTTGGAATGGTTCAACAAAAACTGGATCTTTCCCAGTGGCTTCAACCAGGCTGATGATTAAGTGCAATACTCTCTAATCTCAATGGTAATGATAGCTTAACACTGGGGGCAGGTCCGCCATTGCACGCTCAGCCTAGTAGAAAACATAGACCACTGCCAATCTCCAAGGCTTCACTATGAACAATACAATGTGAATAACTATAGGTTACCATTGGCTACAAATAATTAGTGGGTTTCTCTATAAAACTAACCTCTCAGTAGACAGTGGTCATAGCCAAACAATAGTTGGAGATTGGCCCATACCGGTGATGGCACTGTCTCAGAATGCCACCTTTCTAACAAACCAGTGTAGATTTCTGCCGCACCAGTCCAGCCCCTGCAAGTCCTTTAAAAAGGGAGTCAGTTGCTAAATCTCATTAAAATCATATGTCCTCACCTACCAAATTTCCATACTGCCAATCAGCTCTAGACTTTGTAAGGACTTGACGCCGCCACTTACACCCACAATAAAAAAATGCAAGTGATAAAATGAACTGGCCTGGGTCCCTGGTGCTAGTGGTGGAGAGTCTTTACTGCTTCTCTCTGCATGACCTAGCTCTATAGCACCCCTCACCCTGCCAAATGACAACTGTCCCCTTCTGCACCAGCTTTGCTAAACGTAGGCTTGTAGGCAGGGTTAAGGTCATAAGATATTGGAGATTGAGGCAACGCTTCAACAAAGCCGTACTAGGAATAAAAAGCAGTCCTGGAAAAAAAAAAAATTATACCAACCCTATAGTGCATTGCCTCAGTATTGTGTGCAGATATACAAGTGGAAAGAACATATTGAAATTTAAACTTATTTCCCCACTATGATGGATTTCACTCATGGAATTTCACAACAAACAAGCAAAACAAAAACCTGCATTATCTCACATTTTATGAAAAAGCTTTTAATAGGATTGAAATGTTGACTGCATTTCTCATTTCAACATGAATCTTCACTTTTATAAATTAAAAAAGTGCAGATTTCTGATCCCTCCCTCCCCACACAGCACACTCTCTGACAAACACACACGCACACACAAACTAAACTTATTCTGACACTGCACAGTTCAATTACATGTTTACATTACCAACAGCCTGGACTAGCTCTGGGTCTGCAACCTGTCCAGTGTCCACTCTGCAGGCTGTCCACTTCTCTCTCATGCATTAGTGCAGGGGTAGACAACCTTTAGCCAGTGGCGTACATACCGGGGTCGCGACTGCGACCCAGTATGCACACCAGTGTAGCCACATTTTGCCAGCCTCTTCTCCTGGGGGGGCCAGGAGCCGGCCACCTCAGGGGCCCCCGAGGCTGGCAGTGGTTTCAGTTTGCCGGCGGCCAGTCTGCTGGGCGGGCGCGCGCGAGGGAGGATGACGTCATATCCCGGCTCCAGCATCAGTAAGCAGCGCAAGGGAGCTGGGCAGAGAGCACTCAGGGGAGAGTGCTCCCTCACGCACGCCCGCCCAGCAGGACCCCACTGGACCCCAGGAATCCCCACAGCACTCCCAAAGGTAGGGAGGCTGGGGGATTAAATAAAAAAATTTTAAAAAATGTGAGAGTGTAACTGTGTGTGTGTGTTAATGAGTGTGTTTGTGTGTGTCTGCTACTGAGCGTCAGTGTGTTAGTGAGTGTTATTGTGTGTGTGTCACTGAGTGTGTTTGTGTGTCTGTTATTGAGTGTCAGTGTGTGTGTGTCAGTGAGTGTGTGTGTGTTAGTGTGTCTGTTAGTGAATGTGTGTCAGTGAGCGTATGTTTTATCAGTAAGTGTGTATGTATCTGTCACTGAGTGTGTGTCTGTCAGTAAATGTGTGTGTCTGTTAGCTAGTGTGTATGCGTCTGTGTGTAGTTAAAACCCCTTCAGCACTTACCTTTTTCCAGCGCCGGGTTCCCTTGGCGCTGGGGATCTCTCCGCCCCGATCCGCCTCTCAGCTCCGAATGTGCATGCGCGCATTCAAACCGCCCATAGGTAGCATTACTCAATGCTTTCCTATGGACGTCCAGCGGAATCGCAGAAGCGCCTCTAGCGGCTGTCAGTGAGACAGCTACTAGATGCTGGATTAACCCTCAGTGAAACATAGCAGTTTCAGCTGCAGGATTAAAACTAGAGGGACCTGGCACCCAGACCACTTCATTGAGCTGAAGTGATCGGAGTGTCTTTAGTGGTCCTTTAAGTGTATCTGCATGCACTGGCGGCACACCACGATTGCAGGGGTTGCAGCCCTGCGACCAGGTGCCTGCCGCCATGTGTAGCAGCACTGGCCCGCGCTGGAGGGGCCCCACGGATCAATTTTCACACCGGGGCCCCATGGAACTTGTGTACGCCACTGCCTTTAGCATTCTAGATGTTTTTGTCTATGTCTCCCAAAATGATCCTACAGCCATAATGCTGGCAATGCAATGTGGGAAATGTAGTCCACAATATCTGGGGTGAGAAAGGTTGCCTACCCCTGCACCAGTGTCTGCTGCAGGGAAATGACATCATGATTCACCTGTGCATGGTGAGGACAGAGGTAGATCCAGGATAGAACATAGGGCCACTGGCACACATTTTACCTCTAAAAATTTCCCAAAAATGTCCCCACTTGCCACAACCAAATAACCAACTCTATAGTCACAGGACCCAAACATCCCCATGCCAGTTCACAATCTCCTTCTTCAATTTAGACTGCCATATTTCCTTGGCAATTAACATTATTCCTGACGATATTAGATTTTACCACATTTGCCTGCCAACTAACCATCTCCCTTCTCGGTTTAGATTGGCATTCCCCTGCCAATTAAACCCCCACTTCTATAAATAGTTGGCCATATTTCTCCCCCAAATAGGTGGCTTTGCTTCTCCAAACAGATCTTCTAGTTATTCTTGTTATTCACGTAAATTCTTCCTCCACATTCCACATGGAAGGGAGCATGCATTCTAGAGTGAGAAGGGATGGGACTTGATGGAGGCAGGAACGGACTTAGAATCCATTGTTTTCTGCAACTCATTGGACACAGGTAGTAATAAAGAAACCTGGGTGTGCACTTACCTCAGCTGGGACCCTCATTGCTTTCCCTCCCAAGTTGGGCGGGGATCATTCCTTCAATACTGCTGTAAGCATGTATGTGTCATACTTTACTCTACTGTAAGCATATATGTGTTGTACTTTACACAACTGTAAGTCTGTATGTACACTGCAGGTGTTAACATTATTTAAATGCCATGCAATCAGTTGAGTTGCAGTGGTTATTGTGTTTGGAGTGTTCTTTTAAGAATGAAATAGTACAGTGTAACTAAAGCATTTACCCTTCCCTTCAGCTAGCACTCTCATCCAATAATTTCTGTCTAAAGATGGACAGAACTGACACTACTGATACGGAAATAGGAAGCTCCACTATAATGAGGTCAGTGAAGAGAGGCCGAACTGTGGGTGTAGGGGGACACAAGTACATATAAAACTTTTCAAATATAGGACTCTTAACAGTGGTTTGGTGCCAGGGGACTCTTGGCATCATAACCACTGCAGTGGGATGATGTGTTTATGGTGCTTAGAGCGCCTCTTTAACTATGAGAGAGCAAAAAGGACTTAATACAGATTTTTATTTTTCTATTTTACATTGCTGCTATTTTACTATCCTGAGATTCAATCCTGTGATTTAATTTATTTCTGCTAAAATCCAAAATACAGTGTTTTAGCTTATTACAGAAATCACACAGTATAAAATAACTGTCCGTTTTATAGAAGGAGTTGGAAATTTTTAGGACAGTCTATTGCAGCAATTAAGATCAATCTTACTTATATAACTTTTTCTTGATTTTAAAAAGGGACACTAAGTACCAACACAGTTTTACTTTAATGCAGTGGTCTTGATATACTGATCAAGTCTCTATATAATATATTAGTTAAAACACTTTGTTTATGTAGTCCTATAGTCCAGTTTGATTAGTTTCTTATTGCACAGTGTATTTAAATTTCGTATCCCCTGCTAGTATCTGCAACAACATCCTGTGTGCAATCGAAGTTCAATTAAAGGACCACTATAGGCACACAGACCACTTCAGCTTAATGAAGTGGTCTGGGTGCCTGGTCCATCTAGGATTAACCCTGCCTGCTGTAAACATGGCAGTTTCAGAGAAACTGCTATGTTTACATTAGAGTTAATCCAGCCTCTAGTGGCTGTCTCATTGACAGACGCTAGAGGCGCTTCCGCACTTCTCACTGATTTTCACAGTGAGAAGATGCCAGCGTCCATAGGAAAGCACTGAAAATGCTTTCCTATGGACTGACAATGCGCGCGCAACTCTTGCCGCGCATGCGCATTCAGTCAGTGACGTCCAAAGGAGGAGGAGAGTCCCCAGCGCTGAGGGAGCCCGGCACTGGAGAAAGGTGAGTGTTTAACCCCATTCCTCCAACTTCATCCCGGCGGGAGTGGGACCCTGAGGGTGGGTGCACCCTCAGGGCACTATAGTACCAGGAAAACTAGTTTGTTTTCCTGGCACTATAGTGGTCCTTTAACAGAGCATGAGACAAGAACTTCTATAGAAAACACAATCTGCTTGAAGATCTGATTGAAGAGTTAAAAAAAAATAAAAAAATTCATGCAGGCACTGTGAGTCACAGCCAGGGGAGATGTGGCTAGGGTTGCATAAACAAAAACAAAAGTGATTTAACTTCTAAATGGCAGGCAGAGAACTAAGAAGTGGGATTGCAAGGGCCTGATTTATACACTAAAATGGTTTCATTAAGCTAAAGTTGTTTTGGTACTTAGAGTGTCCCTTTAACTTATAGCTGGCTTACATATATCCCCTAATTCTGAGGCTCTCTCCAGACATGCATAATACTATTTTCTCCACGCCCAAGTTTGGTCTGTGTGGTACAGGCCATTAAATTGTTCTTTTCCTAAGATATGAAGTTGACATTAACCACAGGCTCAAAATTGCAACAACGCCTCTAATGTAAGGTACACACACACAAACAGAAGTGTTCTTGACCAGTATGGTCTGTGGAAAGATTAATTACATCACATATTATGGCTACATATTACCAATTCAAAGAACATCTGTAACTATGAGTCAGCGAGTATGATGCACAGAATCCATACATTCACCCAAAAAATATTTAGCAGTGATTTCACCATTATTTAAAGTCCCAAAGTGGTTTATTATAGCTTAATCAGTTCACACCAGAACAAATACAAATACAATGAGCTGTAGTCGTTCTGGTAACTATAGTGTTTAGACCATAATTAAGAGATGCAATACATCCTGTCTTTGTTACATTCAATTATCTATCAACCTGCATTAAGGCCACTGGATTTTACATGTGATGTAACATATGGTGATCTCTGCAAGTAGAAGTCTTGCTTAGCAATCAGCTCTCTTATACACGGAGACAACTGAAAATTTCATTTCCATATAGTGGGATTACCAGAATGAAATATTTTAATGGATATTTCGGGTTTTATAAGAGCTCTGCCAAAAAGGATGTACATTGGATATATCAATGAGCAGATCATGTCATGTTTTTGAAATCCTATATTGCACAGTGGAAAGAAAATAAAAATAAATAACTGTGGGAAGTGATAAATTGTGCAGCACGTTTGTGTTTGTGGCACACCAGAACCTTTAAAAAGGACACTCTAACCGCTTAACCTCAGTGTAGTGGTGATAGTGTTTGGAGGCCCCTGGCTTTGAACTTCTATTGTCTTATATGGTTTCTGAATTAGTCCGATAAACAAGACTCCCAGGCAGCCGATCCATTAGCTAGAGTAGCAATGAGCGGCGGTGATTGGCTGACAGTGTCAGCTGACTGCTCTCAGCCCATAAAAAAAAAAACATACAATGCTGGTATGAATTGGTATAGCTACGTAAGAGTGTAATCTCTGCCTTGGCCATACTATCCAGATGGCGACCATGTGGGAGGATCCTCATTCAGTGTAAAATTGTACAAAATGGTTTAATACTAAATGGTAGAACAGCACCGGTGAACTCCAAGCATTAAAACCAATTCACTAGGTGAAATGGTTATAGTGTTCCTTTAAAATAGCATGCAGCATGTGACCCATTGCTAGTACACATATCAATGTACATAAAACAGGTTTCTGGTGTAGAAGCATACACTTATATTGGAAATGGAAACCATGAATTGGACACCCTGTATTAGATGGGAAAAAAAAGGAACACAGATTAAATGCTGAAATAGTAAGTTATCTAGTAAAACAGGTGTCATGGCATGAAGCTGGGTGAGCTTGCTTCTTTGTAGAGGGTGTACTGGGGAGAATAATGCAGGTATCCCTGACATTCAATGTTAAAATGATAGGTCATGCTGCGTCATGCCGCCTATGCTGATGACGAGAAATAAGCCCTGGAACCACAGGTAAGTGACCCTGCAATAACATGCAGTCATGGCATTTAATCCAGCAAAACCTTACATTACGTTCACTAGTGCCTTGTATTAATGATCTTTTGGAGTGGACAAAGGAAACTACAATTGTGCCTTGCTATTTTTTTAAGGTAATGTCTGACATCTGGAATATATTTACTGTATTATACTTTAAGCCAACTGCCTTTGAAAAAGAAAAAAAAAAAAAAAGGAGAACCTATTAATCAAGCCATTTACAGCTTTGTAGGATTCCCTTTCTGATCTGGCTTATAGAGCGCATAGATTATGAGAATTTAAAAATCAAGGAGAGAAACTGGTGGGAAGAGTCGTCTCTAGAGAAGGATATGATACTAGCTGGAACAAGTACTTTGCTAGTGATTGCATTTGCATAAAACTAATGTATATCTATGACCTGCAGCTTTGTTCACAACCCTACCTTAAATGGAAAATAACATTAAAAATATAAAATTCCATCTCAGTGCGTTTTAGCTAAAAGGAAACTAAGTGCGTAGTGGTTTCAATTTCAACTGGTTTTAAATCAAACAAATGTTGCCTCCGTCTTTCACACTTGGGTTTGTCAAGACAAGCTACTGAACACTGAAAGCTATACACGTTCAGGAAATATTCACCTTATTTAGAAAGCTAAGGTAGGAAAGCTGATTATCTTTGTCAACCTACGTGTTTGTGAACTTCATTCCACATGATGTTCAGCCAGGCTTTATGTTGGCCTAGTTTTGATGGTTGATGTGGTTAGCTGAGATAGATTCAGGAGAAATGGAGCACTGCCCCAGGAAGCACCTCTAGACTGTAATGTAAACACTACCTATTCTCTGAAAAGAGTGTTCACCGCAAAAAAAGCCTGCAAGTACTAACTATTCTCACCAAAACAAATTCAATAAGCTGTAGTTGTTCTTGTGACTATAGTGTTCCTTTAAGTGCAAGCTGGGGGCTTAAGGAATTACTTTTCGTAGGTGGGCATGTACAGAGTCCAAATTCTCTTAGGACCCAGGGGCTGTCCTTGTTATAAATATCCTTTAAAATGACTTAAGTATTTGACAGAGAAACTGAATAGCTGAGCTTGTTTCACTTTTTCCAACACCATAGATTATGAATATGCAGGAAGTGTCACATGGCAGATACATTTTCCAAAGGATATCTATTGTCTTTGAATTTTCCAAGTTAAAGTTCTCTACAAATTTCATGTAACATTAGGGATATTGGTCCATTAACTCTTTGATGTGGATGCTTCAAGTTTATTATACAGAGGATTGACACATTGCTTTAATGAAAACAAAGTTAAACTTGAACTTGCCATTTAAAAAGAAACATGTTTAAAAAATAGAAATACAAAACAAACGGTGCGCTGTGCACCACAATGCTCAACACCTTTGGTATCATAAGTGATACTTTTTGCTTAGTATAACTCAGAGAACCAAACGTGATGGTTTTACTATATGAAATAGTTTTCTAGAAAACACTAAGGAAGATCTGTCACGATCTGTCTGTTTCTGATAAATATATAGTTTTTATGGAAAGCTATCTATAGGTTGCACTGGGCTTTCAATGACATTACACATCACAAGATTTATACAAAATAGTATATAAAAAATATTGCGTTAAGGAGTTTGACTTGCTTTTCCCACTAACTGCCAATGCAAATAAAAGCTAATGACAAAGATGCCTGTATAGATGCCTATATTATCATTGTGCCTATACATTAGCATGGGCATTGCAGACCCAAATGTGGGGATTAAAAGTGACATTATTGAAGTGGTCTGGGTACAGTGTCCCACTTAGTCTTGCAATGTAAAGCATTGTGGTTTTAGAGAAATTGCAATTATTACATTACAGGACAAAAACTGCATTCTAGTTATCTCAGACAGCCACTTGGCGCAATTCCTAGAGACTAACGGACTTCAGGATGCCTAAATGGCTATGGATGTTCTCACATGAGGACATCCAGCTCCATTGAAATCCACATAGGAAAGCATTGAACCAATGCTTTACTATGGGGAGGGCCTAATGCGCTTGCTGCACTTGTCAAATATGCGCATCTGCCACCTTTCCCATTGGATGACGTCTAAGGACGCAGAATTAGGCAGGAATCGGGTAAGTGACTAAAGGTTGTTTTTGTTTTACTTGCTGAAGAGAGAGGGGAGGGTTGCAAGCAGGGCCGGCACATCCATAAGACTGCACAAGCGGCCGCCTTAGAGTGCACCAGCCAGGGGGGCTCTAGATGAGAGTGACTGGCAGGAGGTGGGCACACAGCGCTCCCTCCTGCCAGCCACTCTGTATAGCGTGGCCGAGCAGACCAGAGCGCACTGCAGTACAGGAACTTCCATTTCCTAAACAACCTCCCCTGTTCCATAGTGTTCTTTTCCCCCTCCCCCCTGACCCTTAGTGCCCCTCTCTCCCCCTCCCCCCCACCCCTGATCCTTGGTAAGTCTGACAGGAAGTGCTCTCTCAGTGAACTCTTCCTTTCAGTCCGGCCGGGTACAGGAACTTCCACTATGGGACAGGGGAGGGGGGTGTTAAGGAACACTATGGGACAGGGGAGGAGGGTGTTAAGGAACACTATGGGACAGGGGAGGGGGGTGTTAAGGAACACTATGGGACAGGGGAAGGTGGGAAAGAACACTGAGGGAGGGGGGAAAGAACACTATGGGGGAAAGAACACTAAAAAAAAAAAAAAGAGGAAGGGGAGAGGAACACTAGGGGGAGAGAGAGGACCATTAAGGGAACATTACTGAAAGCAAGGTACAAGGGAGGGAAGGGAAGGGAAAAGGAACACTGGGGTAGGGGGCAACCACTAAAAGAGAAGGAAGAGTAACATTAAGGGGTATGGGGGGGCACTAAGACAGGTAAGGGGGAAGAGGAACACTAATGGGCATGGAGGGGAGGAGAGAGGAACACAGGGGAGGGGGGCCTCAGTGGGGAGAAAGCCCCACAGAGAGACATGAGGGGGGAGAAAGAGACACAGATGGGCCTGGGGGTGAGAAGGTTCACAGAGGGGCTGGGGATGAAAGCGCCACAGAGGGGCTGGATAAGAGGAAAAAGAGACACAGAGGGGCTGGTGGTGAAAGAGAAACACACAAAGGAGCTGGTAAGAGTATAAGACACAAAGGGGCTGGGAGAGAAGGAGAGACACAAAGGGGATGGGGGAGTAAGAGAGACAATGGGGAATAATAGGGACCGGCCCTGTTTGCAAGGGAAGGGGGACCAAAGGGAACTATAGTGCTAGGAATACATATTTGTATTCCTAACACTATAGAATCCATTTAATCCATAATCATTGTCTGCTCTGTGCTCTACAGCCGTTTCTGCTTGTGAGCATTAGTTAGTGGTAGCCAAATAGAAGGTTTATGCACAGTTGCAAGACTCTGGAGGACTCTACGCCTTGATGTCCGTGGGACTCCAGAGGCACCAGCAGCTTCAAATATCTGTTTGCTGCTATGTAATGGTATTTTAGCAGCTGCACTCTTGATCCGATGCATGGATCTGGAAGAAATCTTCCTCAATGTGCCTTTATCTGCACGAACCCATCTGTGTTCTGTATCAGCCACAAATCTCTTAATAGTGCGATGATCACGCTTAAGTTTTCGTGAAATATCTAAAGTTTTCATACCTCGTCCAAGGCATTGAACTATTTCACTCTTTTCGGCAGCAGCGAGATCCTTTTTCTTCCCCATATTGCATGATAATGGTGCACTGCTTAATAATGTGGAACACCCTCCTTTAGTAGTTTTTCCTTAAATTGGGCTCACCTGGCAATCTAATTATCACAGGTGTCAGAGATTGTTTTCAGTGATCAAAAGAGCCCACAGACACAATGCCATCCATGAGTTAAACTGAAAAACAAAATATTTAATCTTTGTGACACAAATAGAATTTGCATAATAATTTGGAACAGGGTGTAGAAATTGGCACTTTTATAAATTAACCTTGTTACACCTCCTGGCAGTGCCACCATTCGGGCATGACAACCATGATGGTTGTCATGGGCTTGTCCTTGGTCTCTAACTTTTGCAAACCTTGTGGCTGCCACAGAATTCCAACGGGTTACCATGGCAATGCTCTGCATGGCATGCAGTCAAGCCTCACGAGAATGTTAACTCTGCATTCAATACATTCACTATACAAACGCACACTCTGTACTCACTATACATACACAACACCAAACACACACTCTGTATTCACTATACATACACTAGATTCATTACACAAAAACACTCTGCATTCACTATACGCACACTACATCCACTACACAAAAACAAACTCTGCATTCATTACAATCTGCATCCACCACACAAACACACACTGTATCCACTACACACAAAAAATACATACATTACATTTACATTGCAAACTAGTATAAAACCAGTTTGCAAAAGCTGCAGTTTTTATGAAACTACATAAAGGGAAACAGTCAGAGGCTCAAGCTTTGGATGGGCTCCCTTTGGGCGCGTGCACAAGCAGCATACTGATATGAGGTCTTCACGCTGGACTAAGGTCTGAGGTATGCAGCAGGGGAGGTAAGTAGCTAAGTGGAGATAATGGAAGCAGGAAGAACCCCGCGCCCCGGCTGTTTGACAGCCAGGGTGTGTTTTATTATTTATTTATAAAAGTGCAAAATTCTAATAGAAATCTGCACCTTTATAAACAGTCATTATTATAAAGTGTTTTATTGTGCAATATTATCTAATGCTTCACACCAATAAAGCTTAAAGGACCACTATAGTGCCAGGAAAACACTTGTTTTCCTGGCATTATAGTGCCCTGAGGATGCCCCCACCCGGCTCTGGAAGGGGGAAAGGGGTAAAAAAAACTTACCTTTTTCCTGCGCTGGGCAGAGAGCTCTCCTCCTCCGATCCTCCCCGTCGGCTGAATGCGCACGCGCAGCAAAAGCTGCGTGCGCATTCAGCCGGTCACATAGGAAAGCATTCATAATGCTTTCCTATGGACGCTTGCGTGCTCTCACTGTGATTTTCACAGTGAGAAGCACGCAAGCGCCTCTAGTGGCTGTCAATGAGACAGCCACTAGAGGAAATAGGGGAAGGTTTAACCCATTCATAAAACATAGCAGTTTCTTTGAAACTGCTATGTTTATGAAAAAATGGGTTAACCCTAGCTGGACCTGGCACCCAGACCACTTCATTGAGCTGAAGTGGTCTGGGTGCCTAGAGTGGTCCTTTAAGTGTGAAGTGCTTTATGGGTGTGACGTGGACCCTTAAAGGAACACTATAGTGTATTTAGATCCCTGAACCCCCTTAGATCTCAGTAAAAAGGTGATTTTACTCACCTTTTCTCCCACGCCACGCTGGTCTCACAGTAACTGGCCCCGCGTGGCTCTACCTCCATGACTGACATCCATCTTAATCTTGATGATCCATAGGAAAGCATTTTGGCTCTACAGCACACTTTTGGTTCCCTGGTCTCTCACTCTGTGGAGATTCAAGGTTTTTAAACTTACCATTTCTCCACTGCCATGCAGTCTCGCCGCAGCTGGCCCTACTAAACTGTAGTGGTTCTGGTGACTATAGTGTCCCTTTAAAAAGGGAATACACCAGTCTTGTTTTCAGACTGATTGGAGGGAAGTAAAACAGAGTCTGGCTATTTATAGTGATACAAACTTCCCAAACTGTATCCATAATAATCCTATATAATCCTGTATTAATAAAAGGAAAGGCCCAGACAGTTAAACAAAGCCACATAGACAAATTATGATCCTTTCCAAGCCTTTGGAGAAAAGGAGAAAAAGCTATAGGTCAGCCAAACATGCATTAATAATGGGCCAGGATCATCTCCTGTAAGGCGTATCTTTTGTCTCAGTAACTACATCATCCGTGATTAAAACTTCAGTACGTACCAGGAAGGCTTGGATGGCTGAAGAATTTTTTTTTTTTTTCTTCGTTTTAAATTACCTTTACTTTATCTTATAAAATTGTGATGACAACTCAAAGCCAACAATAAGACCCATTGTTAAAAACTTGATAATAAGTCTCTGTTTCCATTAACATTAATAAAAACTATTTGGAGCATTTATTATCTGGCTATTACTCCCAAAATCTCAGATGATATTCCTCCTAGAGTTGAATCTGAAACTCTGTTACGTTGTATTGCAGGAATGTATGTAGAGCAGCTAACTAAAACCTTGTCAACTGTACTGGCCACATGGGAAACGAAAAGAGCTAACATAACGTCACCTTGGCTACAAATATATATATAGGGAACCTGTCCAATGTTGCAGTATCCCGTCCCCAATAAGACAAGAATGCTACATATTTACTGTAACAAACAGCAGCAAGGATTTCATGTAATGCAAAATACAGCACATTTGTTTGACGCCATGAAGCCATTATTGAGATTGTCTTTCACTAAATTGAAAACAGTGAGCTAAATTTAAGATAAAATATGTAAAATTAGCAGTCAAGGAGAACCAATCCTCTTTGTAAATACAACAAGGATGAAGAATTTTTCCAAAATTTTCCAGATATATTTTAAACACACCACAATTCACTAATTTGCATGTACATCTTAATGATTTCAAACTAATTGCTTAGTTGAATAAATTAAAGAACTCTTTTTCTTTTGTGAAATAAAAAGATGTAGCCCCAGTACATGCAATAGTAATCATGTTACTTTTGGAATTAGACGTTATATTGTTAATGCATTTATACAGTCTGCCAGGTCACAGGTTGTGTTTTTACACTGATTAGTGCCGATTACATATTTAACACAAGGGCTAGATGTTTGGGTGCTTCACTAGAGATCATGTTACAGTTAAAGGACCACTATAGTGCCAGGAAAACACTCGTTTTCCTGGCACTATAGTGCCCTGAGGGTGCCCCCACCCTCAGGGACCCCCTCCCGCCCGGCTCTGGAAAGGGGAAAGGGTTAATAACTTACCTTTTTCCAGCGCTGGGCGGGGAGCTCTCTGCCTCCTCTCCTCCTCTGATCCTCCTCCTGGGCTGAATGTGCACGCGCGGCAAGAGCTGCGCGCGCATTCAGCCCGTTGCATAGGAAAGCATTTACAATGCTTTCCTATGGACGCTTGCGTGCTCTCACTGTGAAAAATCACAGTGAGAAGCACGCAAGCGCCTCTAGTGGCTGTCAATGAGACAGCCACTAGAGGGAATAGGGGGAAGGCTTAACCCATTGATAAACATAGCAGTTTCTCTGAAACTGCTATGTTTATTAAAAAATGGGTTAACCCTAGCTGGACCAGGCACCCAGACCACTTCATTAAGCTGAAGTGGTCTGGGTGCCTAGAGTGGTCCTTTAACATTAAAGGTACACTATAGTCACCCAGACTACACGATCTCAATAAAATGCAGAGTCCCTGTCCCCCTAATCCTGCAATGTAAAAAACACTGGGGTGTTTAGGAAACTGCAACATTTACAATGGTTAAATCCTCCTCTAGTGGCTATCATATTGACAGCCACTCAAGGTGTTTCCGTTACACTGAGTAAAACTTGTTCATGTGACGCAAAAGCCCTATAGAAAAGCATTAATTCATGCTTTTTTATGGGGCAATTTGAATGTGCTGGGCACTTGCCGAGCATGTGCATTAGGTCCCCAATGCTTTTGTATGACTAGCATTATATTGGACCATCCCAGAGGAGGCCATGATGGGGAGGACTGGGGGGTTTGGTGTGTTGCCTAGGTTCCCTGTAGTATATAGGCCTTTGATATATAGAAACAAAAAAATGACACCTAGGTACATGTAGTGATGCACGCCACAGTGGTCAGTTCCCTAGAAAGGCCCCAAAAGTGCAGTCTTAGCTCATCATTAGTCAGTCACTGTCTGGGGACTTTGGGATAATTTGCAAACACTCTCCATGGTGACATCGCCTTACCTGAACTTGTCCCTCGCGAGCGCCGCATCGTCTTCCGGTCGGTCCTCTCCTGCTTCTGGCGCTTCAGCTGCCAGGAGTCTACTTCATTGCTATACTCTTGAATATGCGTGAGGACACAGCATTGAGGTCTATGGAGGATGAGACTGCGGGATCCACTATAGATAGAGCCAATTCCCAGCGGTCATCACTGACGATGGCTGAGGGAGTGACGCTTCATGACAGTGGCAGCTCAGCCCATTGTTAAGCAGTTCTTTCTTTGTCTTAGACTGGGTTGGAATTTCAGTGAAATTTAAACATCGTCATTATGCGTATATAAAGATTTTTTTTATTTTTAGAATACTTATTTTGCTGGTCGACGTTGTTGGATATCCGATACACACGAGGGGCTGGAGATCAATATAAGTGTTATCTGTTTGTTCTGCCTAGACACAGTTGGTACTCCAATCACACAACATATGATGTTCTATGGCTTTGTGGGGATATCACTGCATACTTCGACGCATGTCTAGTAATCTAACAAGGTCAAAGACATTGGAAAATCCCTTGACGTTTGGCAAAATAGTAACCAACTTGTGTAATATGTGAAATGTTCAGGGGCAGTATATTTTGCTCCTTTTTCTAATGTGTTCTGATGTATTGCCCTGTATCTGACTTTTGCACAAGTCATGCAGCTACTGTTACGTTTACTGATTCTGTCAAGATGAAAAAAAAAAATAAAAAAAATAAAAAAAAAAAAATGAATACTTATTTTGCTGGGGTGAGGGGTGGGGACAGGACAGTGCCCCTTTAAGGCGCTCATGCTCTAGTTTTCTTAAAAACTGGGACAGATTATACCTTATCTTTACAGGAATCCACATCACCATTGAGAACAATTTTTATTCCTTTGCATAACCCTTTTCCCCTTATCTTATATACATATTTTCCAAACAAAAATTAGAATGATTTTCCTTAGCTGACCACAAAAACCGCAATTGTTCTGTCCTTAGGTTTGAAAAAAAAAAATAAAAAAAAATCACCTAATATGTGGGAGAGGAAACTGGCAGCACTTCAAAAACCAAACTGAACTATGAAAATGTATCACGAATGCAAGGGAGGACAGGCAGTAGCAGTATTTTTGTTCATGGGCCTTTTCTGAATACAAATGGTTTTGTTAATGGTAAAACCAGTAGAAGATGTGCAACATTGTTTATGATATCAATGCATTCCCCATGATTAAGTATCCAATAAAAAAAAATATATTAAACATCCGATCTGATGTTAGAAACGATGATTATACTAAGTAATCCTAATATTTTTATTGCAGACTTTTTAGGCAGCAGAACCAAGTATTCTCCAATGTTTGATGAAATATTAAGCCCATGATACAATGTTCCATGAGCTGTAATTGCAAAAGGTTACCAGAATGTTAAACATAAATGTTAACAAAAAGGTGTGAACAGCCCGAAAAAGTGCAAGGCTTCAACCATGTATTAGAGACTGCTGGTGCCCTCTTAGTGAGATTGTGTTTGGTTTGTTTATTATTAACAGACCTGTCGCTTCACTAGCTATATAGCCTATAATTTGTGTTAACCTTTTTTATGTGAAACTCTTATTTAGCAAATGACATCACTATCCAGTTTAATACAGGCACAGCCAAGGCACACAATGCAAATGAGGAAGAAAAAAAAAAAACAATTGCTTTTATTTCTTCCTAATGATGGTAGACAAGGACCAAATATGGATGCTCTCAGTTCCAGGTCAGTTTAAGTGTGGATTTTAATTTTATTTCAGAGTTCACAAACCACATAATTATATTAATAATCATTTTATAATATAGGGAATCTTTGGAAGCAACAGTTTCCCTTTAACAGAATTCCTAAAATGGTAAAAAAATAAAATAAAAAACAAACAAGTGTACTGTACCTCCAAGATCCAACATATTGCATATAAAATTTAATGTGATTTCTAAAATATCAACAAAAGAAACATTTCAAACAATGTGTACATTTGCACAACATCTTATCTACTAACGTCTGGCAAGCACATATACAGCCAGCACAATAAGGCAGCAGCTGGAGATTGCTACATCACAGTTCAAAGAGGTAAGTCTTGTTCCCAGGGACAGTTTAAGATTTAATTGTGCTATAGGCGGGGTGTCAAATTAGAAAATCTAACCTAGTGCCCTGGCACTTAATCCAAAGCAGAGAAACATGGTGAAGGAGAAATTATGATAATGGTAGTTATTTTAAAATGCCAACTTATTTCACAGTGTTCTACAATTGTGCAATGATGAAAAGATAGCAAGTAAATGATAAAAATGTGCTGGCAGAAACCAGAGTTGAAAACAATCCTCGTCAACAAATGGCTTCTCTTTTCCCCCCAATCTCAGTATTTTAAAAGATACAAAGTCCATAATGCTAGACACTATAGTACAGCGCTGCAAAATTTGTTGGTGCTTTATAAATAATAATACGAATAATAATTGTAGATGCTTGTAAAGGGCACTATTTTTCAGACAATGTGCATATGACACTGGTGTGTCTCAAACCACTTTAAAGAGATAAGCAGTTGCTCTGACATTTAGGAGTTAGAATTTGCTTTTTTGCCCATGCAGCCCTAGTCACATCTCTCCTAGCTGTGACTAACACAGCCTGCATGAAAAAGTTTTATTTTCAATCAGCACAATGTGTTTACTTTAGAAGTTGGAATTACATTGCCTTCGTACATCCCAAGAACACGTTGACTTCAGGGTTCTAATAAGGGTCACCATTACAACTAGAATTCTCATCTAGCGATGCATGAAAACCCAATATTTCAGCTGGGCTAGACAGAAGTGCTGTATCTAGAATTCAACTAAACATCACAGCTGTTAATTAGGTAAAAGAAAACAAGGAAAAGTAGATGTGTGTTGAAACTTCACTCTCATTCAAGTGTTACTTGGTCCCATGAAGGTTGCAAACCCCTGTGTGCTTGTGTGAGATTAGAGGTATCCAAAAATATTTTAAAAAAAATAAAAAGAAAGTGCCACTATCTCATTTAGTATCCATATCTCCCAACATTTGCATCCCGTAAAGCAGGACAAAAGGAGGAAGATCAGAGACAAGAACTGTATCACTGGTGCCACCAATAATGAGATTATCAAAAAGAATTCATCACTTCTAAAAATAAATATTTCATCACTTAAAGTTAAAATATTTAAACTGATAGTTAAAAAATAAATAAAAAAATGTATGATTGCATAAAATTCTTTTTGTGCAACAGGACATCATATACATTAGTTTGGATGAGGACAAGTGAATCTAGATGAATATTAAACACATCTTGAAGATAATAAGAACTCCCCCAGGGAATCTACATATGATCAATAAATCAAGTGATACCTAATTCATTTCCATTTGCAAATAAAATAGGTTTAATTAATGTCAAAGTGTCAGTATCCATTTAAGACTTTTGACGCAAAGCATCTCCCAAGTATCACCACATGTGGAACATCTGTACAACCTTCTTTTACAATTTCCTTACTAACAAACTTTTTGCGTGTGGCATATCAGTTCTACAAATTGTGACCATCAATATGAAAAAAAAAAAAAATATATAAAAATCATAATCGCTGGGAAATCACAGTACTTCTTTCTTTGGATGCTTTCCATAATGAATAATCTCATACTTGGAACAGTAAGATCCACATTCTACTCTATAGCACTTTCAAGCTCTCCCCAAAAGCCTGAAGAATTGAATAGGTGCTTTACAGCAAGTCTGCAATCTGTTCTACCAGTAAAGATGTACCAAAAAACAAAACAAACACCTTCAAAATCTTTCCCTGCTATCCAAACTTCAATATGTCGCTAAACTCATCTTTAACAAAGAAACTGACCTTTAGTCCAGCTTTACCAAACCCATGCTTTATTTATTCAATCTGTTCACCTAACACTAGACTTCTATCTTCATCTATAGTACCCATCTTTTTTAATGCATTCTTTGTAACTTTGGTTCACCAGTCACTCATAGATTCACATAATAAATTTCCAGCCAAACCCCTCCCTAACTGACTCATAATTAGTTTAACGACTCATCACTGTTATACACGCAGACACACCATCAATATAGAGCTCATAGCAAAGAGGGACAGAGGGAAATGGGCCCAAAATAGGGACTGCCTCTCCTAAAAATGGACTATTTATTGAGCATGAAATTCACAGATCGCATACATGGACCTCACTGGTCACATGGGCAACGCAATATAAACAGAACTGACAGACTGCTGCTGGATTTGCAAGGTGTACCATAGTATCCCTGCTACATCGATCAGTATGACCTATTTATCACTAAGGAGCATTTACAGAGATCTGTACAGACTCAGACTATGTTTCTAACCTACTCCACTGCTACCAGTGATGTATTCTGAATATCATTAACACTCATCTTACCATTCAGTCACTGGCAAACACCTATAGGCACATCATACATATTCAGTATAGTCTGTTAGCCTGCACAGCCTCAGGTATTGTAGGAAAATGGGAAATATAACCGTGGGTCTGTTTAGTACTGCAGAGTTTTGAGAGCACAGGAAACCAGCCCATGTACAAACCCACACAATCTCAGGCTAGCAAAGAAAGTCACTGTGTTATTTTAATGGTCAGAGGAATGGCTGACTTGACAACCTTCGCATGACCCACCCATTCACAGTTAATACCCAAAACGGCACTAAATAAAACTTCAACAAGTCTACTTCACTAAGGGCATTGGACACAGCTATTATTAGTAAATCAGTTAGCATTAACATATTTTTTTCAAAGTCAACTACCCTCGCACTTGTGTCACAGGGCTATTTACTAAATGGACAAAATTAAAAGGGAATTTAAAATTTAAGGCACAATAGCTCAATTGATAAAATTCTCTCAGCTCAGCTATACTTACTAAGTCACCGTGAATAAACTCTGAATTCTCACTTTAGTAAATAATCTTGTCAGTAACCATCAGGCATGTCTTCCTAGTGCCTACCTCAACAATGGCTTCCATGAATGTACTTTGTGCTAAGTGTCTTAAAGCTGTGATAAAAAACAAGAGGTGGAACAAAACAGCAAGACAACATTGCAGGTGGGAAATAATGTAATCTGCACTGGGGCCCAGATAAAAAAAGAGGGTATTTCCCTTCCTAATGTAATAGTTAGCCAATCAAAAGTTATGCAACTACCCAACTAACAGACGTAGCACTGCAGTCATAAACCCATCAAAAAATAGCCCCGGATTTTCCTTTGATGAGTCAGGACGGTAAGCTAGACATTGCAAAACTCTATTACTGCTTGTTTTAGCGCCCAGAAGGTTAAAATAAATAAATGGACATTAGATCAATATTTTAAATGCCACTATTGTAAATTAAAATACAGAATGTGAAAAAAAAAAAACAAACAAAAAAAAAAAAACATACTTTGTTTAGCATTCTAATATTACAAATGTTTATAAAGAAACAGAAAAGTGGTAGGAGAGCCAGCTCTGTGGCCCACTAAGGTATCCCAAGCCTCCTACAAAGATAGCACCGGCCAAGTCTTATAAAGCAAATAACTCCATAGAAATGCCAACATAAACAACAACAGAGCCAAATCTTAAAAGAACAAATTCAAGTACACAGAAAAAAAACAGTCATAAAACACAAACACATTTGTTGAAACTATTCTGTGAATATGCATGAAAAGCAGCAGTAATGGAAAGGGGAAAATAGAAACAAAACCTCAATTGTCCTTTTAAGTCTTGGATTCCATGATTGCGTATTAAAACATTCTAACAACTTGTAAACATCAAATTCATTCAGTGGTTCAGTTACATAGGTGTAAAGCACAGTCGTTCAGATCGGCCCCACCGTGCTCTTTTTATCTCTCCACAATGACCAATAACACACGCTATAATTTTTAAATTCACTCCAGCTCTTTGTGCCTATAATTTTGCAAGGGCCATGGCGGCAGTGCTGGGACGCGCAGCAGAAACAATACAGAGTCTGCATAAAGGGATACACCAGACAAGCTAAGTGCAGGATATAGAATTTTAAAAAAAGAATAAAAAATGTGAAGATCACTTGCAAAGATGGGCTGATGAGGGGATCGTCAACTATGCAGGTTGTGACAGCGAAGGATTAGTAATACAAAGAGGGTGGATAAGCTGGAAGACATCTAGTTGAAGATGTAAGAGACAACTTGTGATGCATTCTAAAATGGTAGGAGGGAGATTAGAGGAAGGGAGTTATATCTGGGTATCTTCTGCATACAGTTGGTACTAGAATACAAAATAATTACATTTTCCAAGAGAGGCAGTTTAAAGAGAAAACAGAAGCAGACCAAGGGCACCTCATCTAACAATGGTTGAGCACAGAAAAAGAGACACTGAATGATTGTTGGGAAAGTTAGGATGAGAACCAGGAAGGGACAGAGTCACGAAGGTCAAGGGTGTGAAGGGTTTGAAGAAGGAACGTGTGATCAACAGTGTCAAAAGCAGCAGGAATGTCAAGACTAATTAGTATTGAGTAGTAGCCTTTGAAAATTAGACGTGATTAGATCACTAGTTGCTTACGTCAGCGTGACTTTAGTTAGAGTAGTCTCTGTAAAATGTAAGGGCAGAAGTCAGATTGAAGAGGATCAAGCAGAGAGTAATATCAATCTATATAAAATACTGAAAGAAAGTGCTTAATCCATCCTGGTGTGTCCCTGAAAGGAACATTATGGTGTTAGGAAAACAAAAAACTGGATTTGTAACACTATAGTATACATGTCCCTAATGGTACTGAAGGTCCCCCTGTTTGCCATAAAAAAATAAACTGAAGCTTTTTACTTCTGGTTTTCCATTATCAGGCTCCCTCAGCACTGCTCACCTCTCTGCCTCCCGTCAGTTAGTGGAGGAGACAATGGCCCAACCAATGCTTCTCAATGAGCAGCCATAGACAAAGTGCTAAGCATTTCCAAATTACATCACTGGCAAATCACGCGTTACTGCGCAACAGGTTGCCCAACCCTGTGACTTTTAAAAGGATTATAACTTAATTGCTAGGAAATGTATACATTTCTGTGAACACAGCCAAATTTACATTACTTTTTCTGCCAAAAGTCAAATCTATTTCTCTAGGCATTAGATATACTAAATATGTCAGTAACATTTGACTCACAGAAACCTCTCCAGCCTTTGAGATATTATTCACTAAACAGTGAATTTGCAAACTTCTCTGGCTAAAGCTGGAGCTGGAGTATCTTTCCAAATCACTTTTTGGTCTATATTTGAGAATTCTATTAGAATTTTAGGAATCTGTATATCCACAAATATCAGCAAAATTCTTACAATTACTAATCAATAAGGTATTTGACAATTTTTACTTTGCAGCTACTGTTACAAAGTGGCTATACTTTGCATTGTACTCATTTTTCAGAAATGTTTGAGAAAAAAAAATGCAAGAGTTGTTACATGAGCTATAATATTTTAATGGTTCCTAACATTTCTTTATTGACAAATAGAACATTCATGTGTACATGCTTATATAATCTCTTAACAGCAATATAAAGTTGGTCTGTATGTGATAAGTTTGCACTAATGGTGCATATAAAAAATAAAAAAAATAAAAAAAAATATTTTTTCTTAAATTAACTCTGTAATGAAGTGGTTAACTGTTTTTGTAATAAAAGTTAATACACAATTTTCTAGAGAGGCAGATGACCTCCTTCAGCAACTCACAGCAGGAAACACTCAACCTCATCTTCACCAATCTCTGTACTACCTCTCCAATGTTCCATTTCTTCTATCTGTCCACCATCTGCCTACCTTTGACATCGGCATACCCTGTACCCAAATTTCACCTATTCTCCCAAACCCCTCCCTGTTGGTGTTCCCCAAGCTTCTGTCCTTGGTGCCCTACTGTTCTCCATCTATACTGCCTACCTTGGTAAACTCATCAGCTCCTTTGGCTTCCATTATCATTTATATGCAGATGACACGCAAATCTACCTGTACTTTCCTGATCTCTCTCCGCCTATCTTGACTCATGTCTCTGACTGCCTCTCCGCAATTTCCAACTGGATGGCTGCTTACTTCCTTAAAACTCAACCTATCCAAAACAGAACTTCTGGTCTTTCCTCCCTCAAGTGTTGCTACTCCCATGTCTGTGTCTCCAAGTCAATGGCGCCACCATCACCTCTATTTTGCAGGCTCGCTGTCCAGGTGTTCTCTTTGACTCCGACCTCTCCTTCACCCCTCATGTCCTGCCGCTTTCATCTCAAAAACATAGCTCGCATGCGCCCCTATTTAACAACAGACGCGACTAAGGTGTTGGTCCATGCCATTGTTCTTTCTCGCCTTGACTACTGCAATCCCCTATTCAGTGGTCTTACGTGTTCCCAGATTGCACCGCTGCAATCTATAATGAATGTGGCAGCAAGGCTCATTTTAATGTCCGCCGTACCTCCCATAACTCCCCCCCTCTGTCAGTCTCTACATTGGCTTCGAGTTAGATATAGGGCTCAATTTAAGATTCTGATGCTTGTTTACAAGTCCCTACATAATGCTGCTCCAACCTACCTATTCTTCCTAATACACAATTATGTCCCGTTGAGGCCCCTACGTCTATCCTCTGTCCGTACTCCCACATCTGATTTTTGCCTCCAAGACTTCTCCAGGGCTGCACCTTCCCTTCTCCATTAGACTTTCACCAAATTTTGACTCCTTCAAAAAAAAAATCTTTGCAAACATACTTCTTCAGGAAAGCATATAAATTAAACTGTTGGCAGGTTTTCATTCCCCCATCCTGCAACTGTCCAAAATAACCTAAGTTCTCAGTAAATACTTTTCTAGCAACCCATTTCATTACCCCTACTTATACCCTTTGTGTTACTATACCCCACTATCTCTAGCCTGTAAGCACACGAAGCAGGGCTCTCAACCCCTTTGTTCCTGTGCGTCCATTCGTCTGGTTACAATTACGTGTCTGTTAGTCCACCCATTGTACAGCGCTACGGAATTTGCTGGTGCTATATAAATAAAATAATAATGTATATTTTTTTGATCAGAGACAAAAATTGTTTAGTATAACCAGATAGAATCTCAATTTGGAATTAGACAAGCTTAAACATAAATGAACACTAAAAAAAAAATGTGTTGATAGGAGGATACTGTTATATTCACAGTGTTTGCATGTAGATAAGCATTGATTTGTGGACACAAAAGTTGCACACATTTGGTATAAACAGCGACAGTGAGGGGATACAGGTACCACACCTCACTCACAGGGGATTCCACACCCTATCCTGACATTACCAGTGCCCTCTCATGGTCCAATCAGCCCTGCACGGCTGTCTGATTTCAACTGTAACTTATGAAAAACTGTCTAACTGTGAACTCTTGTAGATCACGCGATTGTTTCTGCTTAATGAATTATCAGCAAAAACGACTATCTACATAAAGCCAGTTTAGATGAGACATTTAATTTGGTGGAAAGTGTTGTCAGCAGTTCATGTCCTTTTGGCTGTTGAATTTTCCAAGAAAAAAACAGCCCTGTTAGTGTGTTGATACATCTTATCCAACCGATTGGATAAGAAGTAATTGTTTGGACTTTTTGGTGACTGCTAAATACTGTATTTGTCACATTTTTTGTCTGGGACCCAAAGTTCCCACATAGCAATACTTTGGCGACCCATTCATAAGTTCAGTTCTGTGACCATTAGTTAAATGTAATATAATATATAGCAGGATCATTTTAGCAAAATATCTTCATTTTAATCTTCTCTGTGATAGAGAAACCTCCACTGAATTTAGAAAGGCTATAGTCACCAATGAAATATGCACAATTATACAACGTGCCACTGAAAATCACCAAAATAGCATGGCAACTCAATTTCGTGTCCAGAATCAAAGGCCTTTTTTTATTTCTGCAAAAATAAACAAAAATTTAATGTTGAAAAATGGTAGGAAAGAGGCGATTATGATAGTGTTAATGTCCTTAGACAGCTCATTGACAACCATAACATGTACAGTTATCAAAAGACAGATTGTGATTGAGGACGATTAGGAAAATTTATCAATGTTTTCTGTTTTAAAAAGTGGTACCAAACATAACAGGGCAGGTGATATTGTACTTGCCGGTTCAGCTGGTTTCCATGGTGGTTACCCTAGTTCTAGTTGTCTAAAGTAGACTACTTTTAGAACACAAATTAATGTAGTAGGTGGGCTTGCACGATAAAGTTTATCTATAGATGGGTGTCAACTTATACCCGATAGGAGGGAAAACAAATAACCATAAGCACAATGGATACACTAACTAGAAATAGAGATTAGTAGGCTTAAAGTCCACAAATGCCCATAGGGAATAGGTTTCAAACCCAAACTTTATTGATTTACAAAAAAAAAAAAAAACACACACACACACAACACCTAATACTTCATTAGACTAAATTATAAAACATATATACTGTAGTGCTAGACAAAACAGTTAGTGATAAATACCCTCTACTTCTTAGAACAGAAAACTTTGATAAATCTCCACCAGCTTTTCTTTTTATGCCCTGGATACAAAGTGAGGATGGATAGGCAAGTTGATTGATTAGATAGATAAGTAGGCAGTCAGCAGACAGATATAGGAAATCACCATATACCAAAAAGATTAAAAAGATGGCATATGAAGCAGATTATATAAACAGACCAACAGACTCAATAGTCTTCGGTATGGGTGGCTGATCAGCCCCTTTTACATATGGCGTACGGTTAACATTTAGCAGCCGATGTAGAATAGTTACTGATACTGTACACAAACTACTGCAATGTGTCACAAGACACATTCTTAGATCTAGAAATGACCCACTGGCCTTAACAGTGTCAGTTGAGTATTCAATGCCAATGCAAGTCATGAATAGACCAATATTAAAAGGAGTTGCTTGAGTGACACAGATTGTTATACATTATGACTGGCATTATTTTCAATTCACATTTTCCAGCTTGTGTGAAGCAGTGACGACAAGGGCGAACGTACTCTTGATGCAGGAATTTACATTGAGCGCAGACAGCATTGAAAATATGCATTCTAATTTAGGTTCTGAATAGGAAAAATGTAAGCAGAACCATTGTGTTTCAATCAATGTATCTTTGAAGACAGGAATCTAGAATAATCATCTCTAGCCAAGAACTGACAAACTTCATCAGCATTACTAGACGTAGAAAAATATTCACCCGTAGCATGTTTTTTCATACAGTTAGACAGCGAATTATGTTAAATGTTAAAGTGCAAGGCAACCAGCGTACTCCAAAAGCAATCAAAGAACATGTTTATTATGGGTATGGAAAAGTGAGGAGATCATGTAATTTCCTGTTGCTAATCACACTACAACTGCCGAATATAATTCAGAACATGTATAAAAACATGTTACATGATTTTAATTAGCTCCAGATGTGAAGGTTGTCAAGTTGTCCACCAAGTAAGAAATTAAATGATTGTTTGATTTTAATTAAAAATCTGAAGGGACTTTTAACAAGACATTTGTTAGATTACAAATTTAAAAACATAAATAATTATTTCCCACATTTATTAGAAACATATTCAAATCTATAATTGTTAATTCCTAAAGGGTACAATATTTTTATTTGCGGTCTTCATGGAGTGGTCCCTAAAGATCATCCCAATCTGTAATATGACAGACTGACAGCATAGCCATAGACCATCATAAGGGGTTAAGGGACTATCTTTACAAAATTGAGGCATATTCAAGCATTTGCCTTGTTTTACACAAAGTCCATGTGTAACAAAAGTGAACTATGTAATGCATTGTATATCACAATGAACTGTACCTGATGTGAATGTTGTATATGTAATGTACATAAACCATGAATGTGTATGATGCACTTGAGAAGCACATATATTGTAAACTCCAATATTAGAAATCTGAAGGAATGCCCAATGCACCATAACTACTATAACCAACTGTAGTGGTTGTTGTTGTGCCAGGACACTCCCAGGCTCCAGAAGAGGGGGTGACTGGTACCCAGTGTACCTCAGGTAAGCTTTCAAATCTTTAAGAAAAGGGTTTGACAATTAACTCTGGGAGAGTGCCAGGAGTACATCAAGTTGTAGTGATTATGGTGTTAGGAGTGTTCATTTTATCTACAATCAGCATGAAGATTTTAATTAAATAAAAGGTGAAACTGCAGTAGCTGTCCAGAATTCTGGCACTTCACAGGGATTGATGGAGTGAGCTAATGTGCTGCACTGATGGGTTAGGTACAATGGAATGGCAGAAAAGCAAAACGCCACTGTTAGGGCAAGTAAATGGCTTGCACCATATGTGAGCAAACTATAGGGTAAAGGCTGCAGTGAAAAAAGCTCATGTAATAATAATAATATTTATTATTTATAAATCTCTCTCCCAATCACCCTTGCTTCCCAAGGCCCAAAGACTAGTCAATGTATGAATAAATATGTCCATGATTATCATGTTTTTTTCAGACCGCATTCCAAGTCAGTGGTACCCCCCGAAAGAGGAATCTTCTTACATAATGCATGATGGAGGAAATGTGTTTCTTTTTACAGCGCTGGTGATAGATAAATAGATAGATTTACTTTCCTCTACATTCTAGAAGTAGCAGAGGCACAGACAGTTGAGGCATTAAATCATGCCAGGGATATTTAATGGGGGAAATAGAATGTCCTCATTCAATCTGATCATGACTATTTCACATTTCTATAGCATTTGGAACATTAAAGTGGCAGATAAAAAAAAAAAAAAAAAAAATACTTAATGCTCACTGATAACATTAAAAAGTATAAGAGTAGCTGGCACTTTCAGTATAACTATTTGTTGTGTTATGGCAGATGTCAATTATTTAAACAATGGTTTTATCATCAGGGAGGAAGACTGTTTAATTACATCAGGGAAGTAGAATGTGAACTTGCATTGCAAAATCATGGAGAATGACACGCTTGTCTGTGACACCAAAATTGCACAATATATTTGAATTTCTATAACCCCAAGCTTTAAAGATTAAAATTTCTCATGGCATGTCCATAAAAGAACACTCCGAGCACTATAACCACTACAGAGTGCTGTAGTACTTATGGTGCCATGAGTGCCTTAGCTCGTATACCCCCTATTGTAATGAGTCGAACATGTTAGAACCAGTCAACAATTTACATGAGCCTGACCACCGGGCACCACTCCTCATCTCCTCCAGTGCCAAAACCCCTGGAAACTTGATCTTAGCCATGGCAGAGATAGTCTGTCTGCCCTGGGGGTTGCTGTGAAGGTTGGAAGCAGTACCCAGCAGATAGCAAGCAAGACATCAAACAGTTCTGAAATGGTTTGACTATTTCCATTAAGAGTGCCAGGGTACTCCTGCCACCATAACCACGACAGCATGATCTAATGGTTATGCTGCTTGCAGTGTTAATTTAAATAACTTTTCAGTTCTTATTACCATTTACACGATTTATATGGAACCAATCCATAACATATATAAACATTCTAAATAATCAAAAAAAGTTAAAGTCTTCTTGACTCAGTAAAGAAAAAAAGTGTCAGCTTTTTGCAAGAGGCAAAGTAGTAATACAATATGTTTTCCAGGTGTCACATTCATGGTTATTTGTTGATCTCCCTTCTAGGGTTGAGGCACCCAATTTGCAGAATAAAGAGGTATGGAATTCTACATACAATTTTATTTTTCACACCCACAGATAGAAATTAGTTTAGGATAGGGGATTCCTAGTGACACATTCCTTAACTCTAAAAAAAATTAATAAAAATATAATTATATATATATATATATATATATATATATATATATATATATATATATATTTTTATTTTTTATTTTATTTATACACAGACACACATATACACACTTTTATTTAAACCACATAATCCAAGCATTATAAATAATAAGGGGCACACATTTGTGCCCCTTATTATTTATAATGCTTGGATTATGTGGTTTAAATAAAAGTAAAGTTGTTTTTCTAATTAAGACTAGTTGCAGAAAGTACATTCAAGCATCCCAGCTTCCCCACCCAGTGATTGCACTGTTACTTACACCATTATTGGCTGACAATGCATCTGGTTCCAGGCACATTTGTACTGAGGCTGAATAAAACTCTCTGTTCCGTCCATCACTGTGCAGCTCACATTTTTGTTCACTATATAAGCACACCAGTTCCTACAAAATAAACCAAAACAAACATTAGGTTCAGTAGCTCATTAATGCAGACTATAAAGCTGGATTATACAGGCAGTTTATGGAGAATATTCTTCTAATCAGTATACAATATACAGGATATTGTGAAAGAGATAGCAAAGCACAATGTATTGCGTACTTCTCAAAGAGTTCAGTTTAAGGGCGGTGTAACTATTGTTTCCATCTGTTAATCCCCAAAGCAGGACTAGTTTAGACAATAGACATCAATGGACAGAGCCCAGGAACTTAACAAGTCTACACAATTTAAACTCAACCTATGGATTCTTACATTATATTTTGTATCCCAGAAGCTACCTGGGTGTCTGTCTGTACCCTTATCCTTAGTACTGGATACACATGTACAGGCTAATCCCCTGCTTCTATTACAGATTTCAGAGACCCAGGACACTTTTTCACATTGTAATCCTATAAAGGTTTAAATTCTCCACCCATTATCACTAAACACGTTTGGCCAAAGCCTATACAGATGTACATACACGATAAGGATCTCCTCCTCACCCTCCACACATGAAAGCGAGTATACTGTAATGTTTCAATTTAAGGTCAACTACCACTCTAAACACCCTCAGTCAAGTCCCCCTATCTCTAGTCCATGAATCTAACTGGTCCATGCTGAATTAGTTGAAGAATTAAGTCAGTGAAGAGTACTGGGTGTAACTTACTTGCCCTTCTGGCTAGGTTTGTGGTAGGTGAGGTGTGGGGTGGCTTCACTCAGCAGACATCCACAGAAGATAACCCAGAGCAAAGTCCACAGCGTGATGGGTCTGGCGGCAACCTTCTCTGCCCGCAACGTTGAGAACGGGATCATTTTAAAAATAAAGGAGTTCCTGACAAAATACAGAGGGATAAATGAGCTTCAGGCATCAAATTGTAACTAGACTATCTTGGGGGAAAAAAAGTGCTTTAAAAAAAGTTAAACCCAGCCAGATTCCTTGGAGCCGATGGAATTCTGTATAAAGTGAACTTCCCTCTGCCTGGGGATGCCTTGCTTTTTTTTTTTTTGTCCTCCTCCAAAACTCTGTTCAGCTTCATCCTTCCTTTCCACACCTCCTCCTCCCCCCCACCCTTTTTTTTTTGGGTGCATGTGACGTCATATCTCCTAGATTAGCTGCCTGCTCATTGAGACAGGGAGTCCTCAGCTAGATTGTGTATAGAGACAGATAAAGTAAAGCCATTGATGTGTTTCCATGTAGGGCTGTACTTTTGGAAAAGATGAGGGTAATGGTTGTGTGTGTCAGACTCCCATGTTAGGGAAGATTTGCCTGCCCAGAGCTGGAAGCAAGCCTTGCAGTTTTTGAAATGATACTTTTAACAAGCAATGGTTTGGCTAGAATGTATTTCTTCCATTGAAAAGTATGCACAATTTAACTGTTCTAGACGCTGGCTCAAGAAACATTGTACTGAGCAGAAAGGCTAATTCTGCGAGCAGTTTCAGTCTGCAATTAACCCTTGCAGTGTCACATGGCTATGGAACGCCCCTCTTACACATGTAAATCTCACTAAATATAGCTTTAAGGGTATCAGCAGTGACATGAAATTTCTGAGCATGCATGCTTTGCTCTGTAAAAATGTAATGTTTGGAGTCTTTTCAACTGTACATGCATGTGGTTTTGTATTTCAGAAACTTTTATAAAAACACATTCCACTTCCCAAATTAAAATCACTTCATACTAGATATATCCCCAATGCAGCCATGTATGCCTTTTTTCATTGGAGGTATACATAATAACAGCTTGCAAAAGCTGCAGAAATCTTATTTGCAGCCTTTGCAAGCTTCCCCCACCCCCTTCTTCCCCAATCACATACTTCCCAATGCAGCTCAATGAGAAGCCTTTGCAAGGCAGGTGCTCTGGGCAATTGCTGCCTCAAGTTTAAAGGGACAGTTTAGGCACCATAACAACTTCATCAACACTAAGTTGTTATGGTGCCAGGAGGTTAAGGGGCTAAACCATTCTTGAAAGGTTTAACCACAGTGTCTGAGGTTCTAGAAATGCATACAATACCACTGATACTAGTTCACTCTGTTGATTTAAAGAGACACTATAGGCATCTCATTGAAGTGGTGTAGGTGCAGTGTTCCTCTCCCACTAACCCTGCAATATAACATACTGGCTGCTGTTTCACAGAATTTGATTCCATTAAACAAAGCTGAATGGCCTCAATGATAAAATGCTTTCCCGTGGAAAAGGCCTTATGTGCGTGCTACTCTTGCCACATATGCACAGTAAGTTCCCCCTCTGCGAGGCCATCAGAGGAGATTTAGGGAAAACCAGCGCTGACAGACCTTCCTTACATTAAAGTGTCCCTGTATGAAAAATGAGAAAATATACAATGTAGTATGATATTGCTTGTAAGCCAATAATCAAAGATGTTTGTGGACTCCTACTCACACTTGTGAGAGCTTTTAGGACCAGTTCTCAGTCAAACATTGCTGTGTACCCGATTAAAGGTGGTAAAAGCTCAAGAACTCACTGAACAGAGACTAACTATGGAATACTGGACCCACAAAGTTTGGCCTTCAGATTTCCTTGTGTATAGGTAGAGGAAATGTATACAGGAAAGCACCCAATAATGCATATTACCCATTGGATTTAAAATCTTCTATAATGATATTTAATTGCAAACTCACTTTTTATAGCAGCGCAAAAAATGTCACTCCACACATATTTGTAAAGTGTGTTTGTCTGCTTTCGGGGGACACTTCCCTGTTATTGTTATATATAGCAAAACAATAAGGTAAAAAAAAAAAAAACATTTTATAGTCCAAATGAAGAATTTTAGCAGCTTTCTTAAAAACTGGTGAGAATGCAGTTTAAACAGAATCTCACAAAATGGTTTTAAAATAATTCTCTCAGTTCCAGTCCTCTGACTTAATAAATATTTACCAATTGCATCATTGAGTTGGGGAATATGCACAGAATTAACATTTGCTACCCGGAACTCGGGTCCTTGGCTGGCTGATGGATGTGGAGTTAAACCTCAGGTAATAAGCTGTCATATCATACTGAAAAGCAGCACATACAGGGTTCTTGCGTCATGACTACTTCAAAACACTTAAAGGACCACTCTAGGCACCCAGACCACTTCAGCTTAATGAAGTTGTCTGGGTGCCAGGTCCTTCTAGGGTTAACCCATTTTTTCATAATTATAGCGGTTTCAGAGAAACTGCTATAATTATGAATGGGTTAAGCCTTCCCCCTAATCCTCTAGTGGCTGTCTCATTGACAGCCACTAGAGGCGCTTGCGTGCTTCTCACTGTGATTTTCACAGTGAGAGCACGCAAGCGTCCATAGGAAAGCATTGAGAATGCTTTCCTATGCGTCCGGATGAATACGCGCGCAGCTCTTGCCGCACGTGCGCATTCAGCCGACGGGGAGGAGAGAAGGAGGATCGGAGGAGGAGAGCTCCCCGCCCAGCGCTGGAAAAGGTAAGTTTTAACCCCTTTCCCCCTTCCAGAGCCGGGCGGGAGGGGGTCCCTGAGGGTGGGGGCACCCTCAGGGCACTATAGTGCCAGGAAAACGAGTATGTTTTCCTGGCACTATAGTGGTCCTTTAAGTGGTCTTTGTGCTTTTCAAAGCAGCCACCTAATATAAAAATAAAGATTCAGTAGTATAGTACTCCATCAAGCTTCTTAGGGTTTTTTTTTTTCTGTGAGTTACTCCCCAGGTGACTCTCAGTAATGGTGCTGGAGAACAGAATTATGCCAAACACTCCCCTATTAGTTAGGTAGCAAGGCAGGATCACATTTAATACATGTGCATTGTGTGCTTGATTCCAGCTATGGCGTCCCTGAGATCCTGCACAGTGGTGGAACTAATGCAGAGAAAGCCCTAGTGCAAGAATATTTCTGCCTCCCCCCCACCTCCATCACAAGGGTGGCTGTAAGGTAGATCCCTGTAGCATCCTCTGAGTCGAGTAGACAATCAGGCTTCATTGTGGCCCAGACGGTTGGCCCTGTCCCTGTTTCTTTCTCTGAGAGAAGAATGGGGCAGGGTTCCACAACCGACTAACTGCTTCCGTGCACTGCTGCAGCATTGGCCAGAGGGCCCATCAAGTGAGCAGCAGCATAACTCAGTGGTAAAGCTCCCAGCACTGTGTTGGGCCACCCTAGTGCTCTGTGCCTCATTGCAGTAGCACCGGCTGCTCCGGCGGTAGTTTTGCCAGAACTACAGCACACTATTCAAGGGTAGAGAGAACAGAACGTAACACAGAAAGGCAGTGATATGGCATAATGTACCCCACCTATCTCTTAGTGTAGAGGTCAACATGTCTTTGGGCTGAAGCCTCAAGTGTTTCTGGAACCTAACACTGCCCCTGGCAACCCAAGTCAATGAATAATTCTCCAGTTCAAGTCTTGTTAATAAACTTGCTCGAAAGTCACAGTTCACCAACTTAACTAACAAAATCCAAATATTCCCTAAGCATCTCACAGAGGACTCATCTTCGGAAGCAAATCTAGATAAACTGCCAAATTCAGTACTCATTCTACTCAATACAGACTCATCTCTATGATCAGTAGCTGGGGGGAATCATGGGAAATGTTAGTTTATGTGCACAGTGGGAAAACTGTTTTTAAAACTTGGTTGTACATTAACTGGTTCATTAGGCCATTGGGAAAAGTGAAAGTGAGTTGGCAATTCACCACCCACTCACTCCTTCCACCTTGACCAGATGAAAGCTTTCCTACACATCCAGTCTGTAGCAACTGTCCTTCAGTGTGGATGACAATAATGCGCTAGCTTCTCCCATCTGCATTTTCAAAAGTAGCACGCCCCGCAAGACTCAGTCAGGCAGAGCAAAAACACTGCAATTAAAGGCATTTGAAACAAGGGGGAGTAGTAACAGCAGAAGTACTACAATTTAATTTATTTAAGAGATGGCAAAAAAAGGGTGACCTGTCCCAAACAGGCATTACTGTGGCTCAAAGTTTCTGTCATGTCCATCAATGGAATATGAACTGTCTCTAACTGCCCTATTATTATCCAAACCTCATGCATTAGTGGGGAGGCAATGCCAGTTAGGGGTGGGATGACTGTGGATTTCCCTATGCTGTTCAAACATTTGCACCACCTAAAGTGGAGTTCTGCTGTGTGCTGCAATACCATCATAGACAGATGTGTGGGAAGCACTCTTTTCTCCTGAGACACTACTTTTGTACTCGGCTCTAAATCTTTACTAAATAATGGCCTTGTAGACCCCCACAAAGTAGACTGTGCTGCGCTTTCCCTTATTTGCTTCTTAGGGGACACTGAGAGGTATAATGACTAAACTGGCTATGGTAGAAGGAGCTGCAATCCCAGTAGAAGTTGTTCCGGAATGAAAATGGTGGCAAAAAAACAACTGCCTTGTGGGTGTTGAATCAGACACAACAAACATGTTGCTAATCCTACTATCCTTATATAAAGGATTTATCCGCACATAGAAACGTTTATAAGGGTATTTACTGTACTGACAGGAATAGTTGTGCCCATCTGCAACCATGCGCTTGATAACACCTGATAAACCCAGCATGTCTCGGGACGTCGGCCACTGCGGCTCTATACCTCTTTATAGTCCCATGGCCGCCCACGCTAATAATGAAGTCGGCATACGTTTGACGTCACGCGCGCATGCGTGGTTTCTGTCTGATGGTAATCCGAGAGTGCGTTCCTGATCTTGATTTTTTGGTATTTGACTTTGGCTTCATTCTGACTTCCCTGATTTCTGGTATCCTTGACTTTTGGCTTTTTCTCATCGCTGTGTCTGATTCTCCATCCCTGACCTTGGCAAGTATTCTGACTATTTTTGGATACGTTAAGTCCGGCCATTCTAAGATCCGGTTAAACGTTATCCTTAGTCCTTGGTGTGATACAGTTCTACGTGCGGGATCAGTTAGTAATCCTGACATTTTAGGCTGAATACTACTAATATTGCTGTTGATGTAGTGGTAGTGGGAGCAGTGGTGGTGGCTGTGTTCAAACTCTCAAGAAGCTATAGCACTATTTCCAGGGCCAGATTAAGAGCCCAGTGGGCCTGGTGCTGAGAATTATGATGGGGCCTAATTACAGAATCTTATGGATGGAGATGGTGTTGGAGGGAAACTCAAAGGATGCAGCAATAAGAAAACACATAC